AGGCAAAGATGTTTAAGCTTTTTTGTTGTGAAACACCTGGCTTAAAACTTAGTGTGGCTGTTCCACTGGATTTTAGGTTTTCATCATCTGTAAATAACCCATGAACAACAAATACCAAATAGTAGCTTTATAAAATAGGTTTTTCAGTGCTAGAGTATTTTCTGTACCTGTAATGCTAGCACGCCCAGACCTGACTAGATTGTAAAATAGAATCTGAATGATAGTACTTGATACAACCATTATTTGTGGTTTGTTGTTTCTTTAAGGGGAGGTAGTTCTCATTACTTCATTAGTGTACACGTGGGAGTTCCCTGACCTGTGGAGTGTCTGTTAAATGAATGAGAATGTGCTGAGACACATTTTGCACTGGATGTCCATTATAAATAATTCTAGATAAAAGGTAAGGATCAGCAGCTTTGCAAGCTTAACAAAACTCAACTGAGAACTGGGTAGGAGTATTGCAAAAAATCAGTTTAACTGATATTAGAACCAAAGCAGGAACTTGACATGACTGGATTGGGATAAAAAGGTTGCATATCTCTGCTTTTGCAGACTAAGAGAGTTATTCAGCTGAAGGCTGGGGTTGCAGAAGTCTGGAGAGCAGATACTGCCAGATTTTGCATAAAGCTCCTGTGGCTCCAGGCTGGAAAGTTGGACGTGCTTTAGCACACCTGGACCTCAAACTTAGCTGTGCTTTTAAGTTATGAGTTGATCAGGGTCTTGTAAGACATTTTTGATGAAGATTGGGTGATAGATGTAACCTGGGAAAGCTCCGCAACTTGTTGGCTGTTTCTGTTTGGTTTTTGGAGCTGGTAACATGTTGAAGAATTAATTACACAATTTGTCAATTTCTTGAAAGATACCAACAACTGATACGCTCTGTGAAATCCCTCCTTCTCTATCTAGGTCTGCGTTGTTCAAATCACACTTGGAGTAGCTTTGTCCCTGTTTCTAATGAAGTGTTCCTCAGTGGCAAGAACTGTTTATTCTCCATGCTGCTGACTTGTCCTGTGTCTTTGAACATAGGTTATTTATTCTTTGCTTGGGTTTACTCATGCAGAATTAAGTTTTACATACTTCTTAGTGTTGTTGCAATGCTTAATTAATATTTATAAAGACCTCTGACATCCTGTGATGAAAGGAACTGTGTAAGTGTTCACTAGTGGTATTTATTAGTGAAAATGCAGGTGGAGTCAGGAGGATACCAGTTTTTAATTCGGAGTGAGCAATGGAGTCATACTGTAACCTTGAGCAGGTCATACAGCCTCTTGTTTTGTAACATATCCTGGGAAAGATCTGTGTTATTGCAGCGTGTGATATTAAATGTCATCCATCCCCCACATCAATTCAAAATTAAAAAATAAAAATAAAAACTGGCATACAAGTTCAGTGAGCTCTAAACGTGGTCTGTGTTTTGTAAGGGCGTGCATCATTAGAAGTGGCAGAGGATGAGAAGGTGCTGAATTTAACAGTTGGTTTTAGAGCCAGATCTGGAACGTGTCATACCTAGGTATAGAACTGCCTCAATTTTGTGTAATTGAACTTGAATGAGAGAGATTGTATGCGCTGCGCTTAACTGGAAGTGCACAATGAGTGAATGAAGTGTATATAATCTTTATTGCATTCTAAGAACTCGCTTGCTAATCCATGGTATTGAGCTGGTAAACAGGTTCTTAGAGCAGACAGAATACTGTGTGTATTTGACTGTGTCTGTATTTGTGATTGCCAAGATTGATAATCGGCTCTTAGAGCATCTAGTATTAGGCTATTTCATAACAATAAACATATCAATCTCTTGTGTGGTTTTCTTTCCTCCATCTGACAGAGGAATGTTATGAGTGCAGACTCTCATTACAACTGCGAGGTACCTCTGAACTTTTTGGATGGTATACAGCTGTTGAAAATATTGCCAGCTGACAATTTGTCAAATTACGTAAGGCACAATAGCATTAAGTGAAATTATCTGCCAAGCTTTATGCATGCAAATGCAGGGTTTCAGGCTTTTTTTCTCATCTCTATTTTACTCATTGCACAAAGCACATGGGGCTTCAGAACCATCCCTTAGAGTGCCTTCCAAGGAACTTACTAAACCAGTGAAGTGTAAGACGTAGCTGAATACAAGTGCTGGTTTGTGCATATACGTTATGGTGGGTTGTGACTGAGCACACCCATGTATTTCCTGCTTCTCTGCAGTCTGACTGGTAAATTCTGGGGACTTTTTTCTTGCCTTCAGTCCTAGATCAGCTCTAAACTCAGCTGGTTTTAAGGGTGAAAAGGAGGCCAGGTTGGATGGTGCTCTGATGGATGGCAGCCCTGTCCACACAGGGCTTGGAACTGGGTGACCTTTGAGGTCCCTTCCAACTTCATCCATTCTATGAAATAGCATAACCACCTTTACTGGGGGAGAAGGGGATGTCAGGAAAGGTTCTTCATATAAGCCTACTTAAAAGTCTTTACTAGGAATATGGAGAACTTACACTACACTGAGCGTACGCAGATTAGTTTGAAGAAGTAATTTGGCAAGATTGATAGAGCATTAAACAGACCTGCAAAATATGTTGCTTACTTTCCCTTCCCACTTCTAATTTAGATTTCCTGATAGGAGTAGTAACAGTCCTGAAACTTTGTGTATTTGCAGGAAGAGAATGAATAAACTTTCTTACCTGTCAAAAATAAATATGGCCTCTGGCAATAATTGCAATAGAAAATATAAACTCTAAATGTCTTTGCCAAAAAAAAAAAAAAACCCCAAACTGAGCAAATTGTCTTTTGTTTTGTTTCTAACATCAGAAGTTCAAACAACTTCAACTTGCTGCTTCTTCCAGCTTGGCCTGCAGCAGCAGAATAGCAACTCTGTGCAGAAAACCTTGCTCTTAACTTCCCACTGATAAAATTAAATACATTCTTATTTTACTGTATTGATTTAGTATAATTAAAATAATGACATATAATTTGATAAATGCTATTTTTATTATTGTAGTGCCCTGAAGCACCATATGTGCAAAATTGTATTATATTTTACAGAACTGGAGATCTGTAATGTGCTTGTCAGAATGTTGCTTTACTTGCTTAAATTATTTTCACCGTTATAGCAAGTGAATTTCAAGTGTGTTTGGAAATGAAATAAATATAATAAGATTCCTTATCAATTAAACAATGAGTTTTATAATTCTTAAAAATGGGAGTGATGTTTTCCTGTCACTGGGGATTTTACCTGACAGCCATGACTTTTCAGATATTACAGAGAGTGGCTTGGCAACTACATGGGTAGTTGTGCACTGACATAAGCTTCCTGACAGCCTTAAGTCCCAGAGAGAGGAAGAAGCTAAGCTAGCTTGTAGTGCAGAGGTGACTAAAATAACACACCAGATGAGGAAGATGAGACATTCATCTTTTCTCAGAGCAGGAGGAGAAATCTTCCCCTTGCTCCCAATGTGCCCCAGTGCAGAAGATATAAGGCTCTGAGGCTGAAGAAGGAGAGGACATGGATGAAGGTTACAGCCTAAAAAAAGGAAAACCATGTAAAATTGGTCTAACCAATCACCAGTATTTGAAACAGTGCCACCTAAACAATGGTGTGAAGTATTTAGTAACTGAGGCCCCTTTGATGAAATGCAGTGAAACACCTATTTGCCACCTCTCTGAAGAGGTTTCCTGCCTGGTAGGAGCCTGAATTTTCAATATCAAGAAGATATTCTGGTGCCTCGTAAAGTCAGAGGACTACTACCCATTCCTACTCTTTCAAGTTGGTTTGCATGAAGCTGCAGTGAGGAGAGTATGAAAATATTTTCAAGGGACATAGATTCTTTTTTGATATGTTGAAGGAATTGGGAATGCAGGTAGTGTGGTCTTCTCCTTTATCTTCTTGCTTGGAGAGTGGGACACAGGGAGGAAAACAGGCCATATGAAGCATGGCCTGTATGGATAATGCCACTCTCAGCTTTCAGTTCTTTAATCTCAGATGCACCTTTGAGAGGAGAGCATGATGTAAGATGAGATGCAACTGGCCAGGTGGAGCAGTGGTGTTGTGGGCAGCAAGCTGGCTGGAAAGCAATACAGTGAGCTTTAGCATAGTAACCCATTGCAGTGGAGTTTTAACCTTCCTGCCAATATTCATTACATTTTGTTACCGTGTGACAAATGGCAGCAAAGTAGCAGTCTGTCAAAATGCTGTCTGACATGGCAGTGGAAATGAGGCAGTGGTGTGTCACTGAGTTCCTCCATACAGAAAGAATTGCACACATTGGCATTCATTAATGCTTGTTGAACATTTTCAGAGACCAAACAGTGGATGTGAGCTCAGAGAGACAGTGGGTGGTAATTTCTGCAGTGACAACAGAGATGTGAAAGACAAGCCATGTGCAGATAGCTGTGCACTGCTGTCACACCACAAAATGGGGATTGTCAGCTAATGGTGGTAACCGTTAAAAAATGGTGTTTTGTAGCTAAGAATTTGTTCTATCAATTAGTGTTACTCTGCTCTTCCTGTCTGTTGTAGCTTCCATGGAAATAAATAGGAAGCGTTACTGCTGGAGTGACCTATGTAGAAGTCCATGGGGCCTGATGGAACAGGATGACCATAGAATTACAGCCCTCTACCTTGAACAGCTCCAGGGATGGGGCAACCACAGCCTTTCTGGGCGGCTAGTGTCAGCACCTCATCACCTTCTGAGTAAAGGGTTTCCTCCTAGTGTTTAACCTACATTTCTCCTCCTTTATTTTAAAACCTTTCTACCTTGTCATAATGTTATCAGACTGCATAAAAAGCCAGTCACCTTCCTGTTTATAAGCTCCTCTCAAATACTCCTCCAGGCTGAACAAACGCAGGTACATCAACCTCTCTGCACAGGAGAGGTGCTCCAGCCCTCTGATAATCTGGATGTGCTCCAAGAGCTTCACATCATTCTTGTGTTGGGGTCCCAGACCTGGATGCAGTACCCCAAGTGAGGCCTCATGAGAACAGAGCAGAGGGGAACAATCACCCCACTCACCCTGCTGGCCACCCCTCTTCTGATGCAATCCAGAATGCTTTTGGCCTTCCGGGCTGCAAGTGCACACTGTTGGCTCACATTAAGTTTTTTATCTATCAGAACCATTAAGTCCTTCTCAACAGGGCTACTCTCAAAGTGTTCTCTCAGTCTGTATACATACTCTCAACCCAAGTGCAAAACTTTGCTTTGTTGAACCTCATCAGGCTCACATTGGGCCCACCTTTTGAGTTTATTCCTTCTGCCTTATCATCTGCACCTCTCAACTTGCTGAGGATTCACTTGATCCCATCATCTTATCACCAGTCTCCACTTGGACATAGAGCCACTGATCACAACCCTCTGGCTGCAACCTTTCAGGATCTTCAAAAGCCAGCTGGATATGAGCACACTGCTGTGGGTGTCCCTGCTGGTGCAAGGATTGGAATAGATGAACCCAGTGGTTCCTTGCAATCTAAACCATCCTGTGATTCTGTGTGAATGTAGCTACTTCTGTTACCAGAGATGTTCTGTGATCCAGTTTTTTGAGGTGTGAGACCTGTGTTGGTATCATAATGACCCCATAGCAGAAAATGCATAGTTTAATTGAGCTGTTTTACACTTTTTCAGTGTTTATGTTATAATTGGTATGAGTGCATTGCTGCAGTTGCCACAACAAATAGCATACTTCCTTGGGATTTTTGTGCATGTGTATCTTAAAGAATAATTTTGTTCTTGGCATTTAATGCCGGCGTCTATAAGAAATTACAGAGCTGCCTTTGTTAGAATTAAGTTATGCCATTGTCAGGAGAGCTAGCTTTTCCTAACTGCTGTTAGGTTAAGTGTAAAATAGTTCTATTTTTTTAATAACGCTTGTCAGCCGTACATGTGAAAATACATTATTAAGATGTAAGTAATGCTCATCAACTTCACTTTCCTCGCTATTTGGAACAAGTTCAAAGCACCTTTGAGAAGTTGGTAAAGCTGCCTGTAGAGCTTTGAGCTTGCCTTGCACAGCCTATCTAGGCTGCAAAGTGCGAGTCAAAGTGCATGGGCAGACAGCCCATACAGATGGATAGCTGGTACTGCTCTCCTGCTGCAGATCTGCAGAAAACATCTGGCATTAGTATCTAGTTCACTCAGCCAATAAGTACCGAAATACTTTTTTGTTCTTTTTTTGTTGTTGTTCTCTTCTTTTTTTTTTTTTTTTTTTCAAAAAGGGTACCTGAGCTGGATGGCCAGAGTCAGTGATACAGTATTGGTTGTGGTCAGTGATGTAAGTCCTGTGGAGAGCTGGGCAGTAAGGTGTCCTGGGCAGGTCATCCCTGGGACCAGTACTGTTCCATGTCTGTGAGTGACCTGGTCAGTCACCTAGCCTCACTGAGTTTGCAGATAATCCACAACTGGACTGAGTGCTGGACACTTTTAGAGTGTATGATTGCTATTCAGGGGAATAGCAAGAGGGAACAGGCTGGAAGAAAGGGTCTGGCAGAAGCCTCTTGACGTTCAGACAGTATGAATGGAAAGTCCCACACCTTGGGCAGAATAATGCCATGCACAGGCTAGGCATCTACAAACTAGAAAGTAGCTTTGCAGAAAAAACACCTGAAGTCCTGGAAGAATAAAACCAGAATGTGAATCAGGAAGGTGTCCTTGCTGTTAAGAAACCAAGCACATGTTGGGCTGCATTAACAAGAGTATAGCCAGTGGGTCAACAGAAGTGTTTCTTCTCTATTCAGTACCTACGAGACTGCCTTTTATGTGCTGTGACCAGTTTTTGCACCCATACAGGAAAGACAGTGGCACATTAAATGGCCACCAAGATACTTAGCAGACTGGAGCACGTCTTGCACAAGGAGAAGCTGAGAGAACTGGATTTGTTCAGACTTAGATAGCTAAGGAGGTAATGTTACTGACTGCTGTCGTCAGCCGCCTAATGAGCATGTATAGAGAGCCAGGCTATTAGTGGAAATGGTGTGCAGTGAAGAAAAAAAAGCCAAGAGGCAGTGAATGCAAGGTGGAGAAAGGGAATTCAAATTAGATTTTGAGGAAGTGCAGTGAGTGTAGTCAAAAAGTGGAACAGGCTCTTCATAGTAGGGGTTATTTCTCTGTCTTTGGAGATGCTTAGAATGCGACTAAGTCCTGACCAGCCTGTGTGATGATGGCCCTGCTGTGAACATGGGGTTACACCAGGTAACTCCCAGAGGTCCTTTTAAATAAGAGTCACTCTTGTGACTGATGATAAGACCGGTAAGAGGAAAGTGTCACTGGCTTCTTAAGAGTGAACTGGTTTGGAAATCAGGAATGAAACCTGAAATGTGCTGTTTAGGGAAAAGATTTTTTGCAACTTTCTTTCTGTCAGTTTTCAAATGAGAGCGTTTTTTTTTCTCCCAACATACAAGCCATTTGAGGTTATAAAACTGGTAGAATTTACAGCTCTTAATCTTTTAATGCAAACCAATACTGTCAAATACTTGTGTATACTGCACTTGCAGACTAATAAGCAATCCTTTTACCGACATCTGGCGCTTTTCCCAGATAGGCTGCCCTTATTTCAAGCCCCATGTTGTGTGGCAAAGTAGGGCTCTTGAAGTACTTCTGTATGCACAGCGGGATAGGTAAAAAGTTCTTTTTAGAAGGGGTAGTGAAAAGAAGTCGCACACATGCAAGGGGAAGTTCAGCTCCTTCTGAGAGCAGTCACAAGTTCTTTATTGAGATTGTATTGTGGTGGCTGTTACCCATTAATTGTTCTCTGTCTGTTGTCATTCATTCATTTCTCAACGTATTTTTTTTCTTTTTTTGTGGGTTATAGAACCACAATGATACCTTTCTTGGTAAACAATTTGAGATAATAGGGCTTTCTATGCATCTTACTTTCTATTTAAAAAATGACATTATTTGATCCTTCAGTGAAACCTTGAAATTCTGAATAGAACTGTCTTGCTGAATGAATGTTCTGATATGACAACAAATTATGGAGCTGTTAATGACGGGTTGATTTCTAACTGAATGCTTTGCCATTCTTGAGGTATTCTTCACCACGTTTCACAACTTTCTAAACACTTCATCTGTGGTTTTGATATTTTTGTGTGCACATGTAATGAATAAATCATTAGTGATCCATAAAAGCTTTGAAGCAATTGAAGACTGAAGGAGGGAAGGAAGCTTGCTCAGATCTGACATTCCAGGATTTTGGCTGTAGCTTTCCATTTACTCAAAACTTTGATTTCTGTCTACCAAGGCCAACTTGCGGAAACTTTAGGACTTGCCTTAAAGTAGAATTTTCAATGTATATAGTTGCTACAGCTGGAAAGTGTAATGTTATAGAACAAACACAGGCAAGAAATATGGAATATGAAAGAGATTTCAGTTCTTATTTTATGCAGTCTAAGGTTTATTGATCAACAGGAGGCTAATCAAACTGAAATGGAACCCCTCAACACCGGTTGTTGAAGTGTTGAGAGCACAACTCAATCTGTATGAACTTATGTCAGTCTTTCTATCACTGTAAATCACTGTGCATATATATATCTATGCAGTACTCCAGAAATAATTAACCCTACCCTATTAACAAGTGTAGTAGCATTCTATAAGGAGTTGTTCTTTAGAAAAGCATACTTGTAGTGTAGTCAGCATGCTGATCTTGTGAGTTCAGTTATTTTCTCCAGCAACTTCAGATGACTGATGTTTTGCAGTGATAAAGGCATATCTCTTGTTCCAGATACGCTATTTAAAGTAAGCAAACTTCTCACTGTGACGTGGTTTTGGTCTCCAGCCAAAGAGAAGACAGAAGCAGCCTACTCTAACTCCTGGATGGGCAAACAACTCCTTTTAAAAGCGCTGCTTTACAGAGCACTTCTTAGACACTTTTTCTAAAGAGTTTTCAGTTAATGTATAGCAAAGTGTGTACTTTATGTGTGTATCAAATCCACAGCGTGCCTTTTTCTGGCATGGCTTCTGTTATTTATTGTCTTATGTGTTAGACTGTGTGTATATACATTCATATATAATGTTACAGATACGAAAAACTATTTCCATATTTTAGGGCTGAGTTCTGTTACTTACATTTCATTTTCATTCAAAAAAGGTGTAGAACAGTTGTCCCTTTCCTAGCTGGTCAGTTCTGGGATGAATAGCCAATCTCTTCAGTGTTGTAGTTCAGTGATGGTACGATCTTCAGTCTCATTTCAAGCAAACAACTGTTCTTTTTTTTCCTCAAAAATGTTATGCTCTAGGTTTATTTTTTTATAGTCCAGGAAGTATTTGTACTCAGAAGTGCTTATTCTGAGGGTTTGTTTGTTTGGTTTTTCCCTTCTATGTATCAGAGTTAACTTGTTCTAAAGTAGTTCCATACTCCACTTTTGCAGTTCAGCCTGAAGGCCAGGTTTCTAAGGGGCTATCCCACATTGAGCCAACTCGTGCAGCTTGGCTCAGTCTGCTTTATGCACATGAGCATTGCATAAGAAAGAATGTGGCTGTGATGTGCATTTGTGTAACGTTTCATACAGTGAGTCCCATTTTGAATCTTTCGATCAGCTAGATCACAACTCCTTAAATGGCTCAGTCTAGTGGAAGTAATTCCACCTTCAGGCTCTGGGTTGTAGCCCAGGCTGCGTAACACCTCGCTGCTGTTTGATGTTCTGTTTGAACACGCCGGAGCACACCTGTGTGTGTTTGAACACGCCATGCTCTTCTCACGGTGTTGAAATAATGGATACTTAGGTTAAACTGTAACACTCTGAATGAAAGTAGAATTAAAATTGTTGGGCTTTCCGTGCTCCGTAGGGCAGCAGTTCCTTTTGCTTTGGTTTTGGTCTCTGTAGTCCCAGTTAATTGATTTGATTTCAGAGCTTTCGTCCAACTGAAGCAGTTGATTGTTGGTGTTCTTAGCTGCAGCAAGAAGGGCCTGAGCCTCAGAGTATGAGAACTGAAATCCTGCATACTCATTTAGCAGTATGTGGTATGTTTTCTTCTTCATTGCTCTTGGCCCTTGTTACTATCAGTGTATTCTTTTTAACCCATGTATATATAAAGCATGATACAGGAACGTACCAGTCAAGCCCCTGTTACAATTAAAACTGCAGAGATGCAAGCGACAGCAGTAGGGTTACACATGCAAAGGGTGGAATAAAGGACTGAATACAGCCCAGTTGAGAAGACATGTTGTCTTTACTAGCACAACTGCAGAGTCAGCTTCAGGAGGAAATGCAGGTACTTTTGCAGATCAATCTTTCTATTGATAAAATTTATATAGAGTTTTAACTGAGTGCTGTGGGGAAGGGCTGCAGTTTCATTTAATTACACGTAGCAGTAGCTACAGCTCACTGAAAATCTTTCTTCCTTCAAATCTTGGCCAGCATTGGATACCTTGCTGTAGATTTACATCCTGGTTTAGACCCTCAAATTTGAGTCTTTTGATCTATTTCTAAAATGCTAATTAATTTACTTCTGGACTGGTGTTTTGAATCAGGGGGGACCTGAGCTAGTTCGAATTAACAAATGTTGCCTCCAAGTGAGATTGCCCCATGCAGTGCATATGATTCTCTCATGCAAAGTGAAGGCCTCCAGCTGTGCTTGGTTGTGGCTTAAGTCTCTAGACAAAATTTATCAGTCGTAAATGTGACCTTGTAGCTATATAGATAAAAGCTTGTTCTGTTAAAGCACTGTCAGTCCTACAAGTGTAGTTTCATAATCACTCCTGTTCTGGAGGAGGATAGAAAGGTTGGTTCCCAGCTTGAAGGATGACTTCTAGGATGCACCCAGAGAAATTTGCTGTCACTGCCGTGTTGTATTATAGCAAATAATAGTGAAAGTAAGGAGCGGGGGCAGAAGGAGGGAAGGGAACTTGTTGTTCTTCTGTCTGATCTGCATCCTTACAGGGGACTGCTGACATTTTCATGCAGCCGCTCTGCAGCCCTTGGAAGGAACTTAGAACTTTATACTCCGAAGTGCCACTTCTGAGTTTCCCAGAATTTGTATCCTACACGTAATTTCCATTTTCATGCAGTTTTAGTCGAGAGTGACTTCATAGGGTTGTGGCTTTTCGCACAGACGAAGGTTGTGTGTGGCGTTATCTGCACCCATCAGGGCGTGCAGTCAGCAGATAGCTGTCAGTGTGGAGCGCAGCGCGTCCTCTCGTCTGCCGTTTTCAGTTGGATAGCAGGGACTGTGAAGAACAGCTTCTATTCTTTACCCATGCCTCAAGCCCGTGCGCTGTGGGGAGAAAGGAAAAATGACTGCTAGGATTTTGCGGGAAAATAGCATTCTCAAAAGCTTGTTTTGTGAGAGGGTATGCTTTTTAAATGCCTCTTTTTTTTTCTCTTTCTGATATGTTGTGTGAGAACTTGAATTTTGCAACTGTTTTCTCTAGTTAACTCACTGAAAAACCCTCCTTTATTTCTGAAATGATTAGTTTTGTCTTAGCCAGAGGAGGTTGGTACAAGGAGTTAGGTAATGTATTGAATCCACTGTCATAGCTACCGCTCTGTGTGTTGCTTTTCAAAACAAAAATTTGGATTAACACTTAGAGATTCCCTTCATTTGTAAGCTGTTAACGTGTTGTTTTTTCTTTTTGTTTTACTAATCAAAAATGGAGTCTGTAATGCACTTTCTAAACATTTTCCAACAATGTTAATTCTCAGATTTTGCAGGAAATTAATGAAGGTCTTATTAGAGAACTAGAATAAAAATTCAGCTACTGGTTGCTGTTCATCAGATTTCCTCCTTGGGATTTTGGTGTGTCCGTGTTTCCATCACTATGTGCTGGTAACAAAAACAAAACCATGCCCCATTGCATTACTCTTAATCCACTCATTTTAGAGTTACATTTTTCTCCCCATGCTGATGTTATCAGTAGAAGCAGCCGGTGCTGCTGGTACATCATGGAGCCTGGTTTCCTTGGGCAGGCTAGAAGACAGTCTTGTAGTTGATGTTCAGTTAATAGGCAGCATCCTCTGAATCAATTAATGAGATACCTGAAAGGTTTTTGTTTTGTAGAATTTGTTGAAGCGCTGAACACTGCTATGTTTGTTTTTCTCCAGACAATTTTCTTCTCACAAGTTTGTATTCAGCAAGTTTCTGTTCCTGTGATGATGTGTGGTCATAAAAAAGAGGGCCACGAAAGGCACAGCTTGCTGTATTGATCAATGTCTGATCAGTGGTGTTCCAGATGTTAGAAAAAGTGCATTAAACAAACAAGCAGTAAAACCCTACCTCTCAAAATCATCACCTGCTTACCTTTCTTCTACGTGGTGCTCTCAGGGCTGCTGTCCTGCTGCCATTGCAGACTGGCTCACCTGAAAGACGACAGCAGTTGTATCAGCATAATTGTAGCTGCCATACTTTCAATGGTAAACCTACGTTTTTGGAGTAGATGTTTTAGTAGTAAGGTTTCAGTTACATTTTTTGTCAAGCATTTAATGGTTTTGAACATAGGCCTTATCAAGCGTTCGGATAGATCCCTGACAGCTCAACAGAACTGAGCTGTGTGCCTACACGGATTGTTGATTTGAAGCCTGAATTGCTAAATATTGATTATTCTTATAAAGTAATGGTGATGATGTGCCCAGTGGGGTATTGAATATCCGCCTCTACTGAAGAAGCACGAGGGGAGGTAGGCCTCACGAGCTAAGCTTTCATCTGCAGCCTTAGTAACACAGATCCTCAGCCAGGTATATAGAAAAACAAGGCAGCGGCAGCAGCAGTCTGCCTCTTTTGAGCTTATGGTCACACGAACAGGTGACCGTAGCCACATGTTTTCTTTCAGGCTATGGGTTTTCTGTCCTCGGTTCTTTTTATTGTTAGTGCTCCGTGTCGCTGTAAGCCATAACCTCAGCTTTGATGGTGAAGTTTAACTTTTTCTTGTTCTTTTCCATTCCCTGCTCCGCTCGCAGAAATAAGTAGGTGCTTTTAAACAGAAGGTTGTCTGTGTGCCAGGCAGTTACTGGAACTCATTTTTTGATCCTACCCTTTTTCAGCAGCTCCTTTAAGACAGCTCTTAAATGTTTGCCTGCTGCATGAAAGTTTTTTAGAGACTGTGAAGTTATAACTGGCACTGCAGCCCAAAGGGTCCAAGCTGTTTGTCAGTAAGAAGGTAGCAAACAGAATTTGAGGTTACAGTAACACAGAAAGAGAATGGTGTTACTTGGAGTGCTTTTTCCATATTACTTAAAATCTGTGGCCTAAAGAAAATTGGAAAATTCCAGTGCTGTATGAAGTACACTAAACTCCCCAAATGCATCGTGTGCATGTTAGTGAAACTGAAAAACCTGTGGGGCTTTTCCTTGCTGGAGTGTGGAGCTGGAAAGTGTGCTTTGACATTTTATAGAGAAACAGTAAAGAGCAACAGCTGACTTGCTTCAGCAATACTAAACAGAGTGCATAAAACACTGTTCAGTATGATGGAGAATGCCTCCAGTTTTGTTAAAATGGGACTATACTTGTTAATGTATAAATTGCACTTGGCAATAGCCTGAGGATGGTGTTACTGAGCGCTCATCCATTCTAGTCTCCATCCACCAAGGAGGAGAGTGAGTTCATGAAACCAGGAAGATGTTCTATTTTCTATCTGTAGAAAAGGTACACAGAACCTTTGCTATTTAGAGGAGTGCTATTTCAGGAGAGGTAACACAATTCAAAATACTTTTGTCTGAATTGAAGCAATCCTTTTGTAAATGTTTCTTTGCACTTAGCTTGGCAGTATCTGGTAAAAATGTGAGCATAAATCTCACCTGAGCTGTTGCACCTCACGGTGGAAGGAGAATTCTGAAAGACGTGACAACAAAGCCAGCTCGGCTCTAATCTTTTTAAATTGTACTCACAAAGAACTTTGATTTGTGCATCATTTAAATAAATAGCTTAGTACAAGTATGAGCTTCAGTTATTACAGCCAACATAGTGAGTCGAAATATTTTCTTTTCCTTCCTTTTACCCCCCACTCTGAATATGGCACATATTTCTGTGCATTTAAAGTTGATATTTTGAAACTCCCCAAATCCATTTTCATCCATCTAAATTAAAGTTATGTTGTAAAAGATCATGGATTGAATGTGTTGGATGTTTCCCATTTCTAAAGTACACATCCTGGCCTTCTCCCTCCTGTCACATCATCTTTTTACACTAATTGTCTTAAAATTTCCCTGACAGAAAAAAAAAAAAAAAGATTATATTCCAAGTGAACTGAAAACTTGATCTTAAGTGTCTTTTTAAGCAGGTGAAGATAATTAGTTAATCAAAGAGTGGTTCACCATAGAAACAGCTCAGGCAGTAGAATATATGCAGTAAATTAACCATTTAATGGTACTTTCATTTTGGTACAGTACACAGCAACAAGATGATAGCTTGACAAAATAGCAACTGCACATATTTTTCTTTAATTTTCTTGAAAAGAATATTCTTGGGTAGAAAATGTTCTCCCTGGAAAGTAGTTTATATTACAGAGTTTGTCACAAAAAATATTTGGCTGGGTACAGTAGGCTAGAAATCAAGTTAGTGATCTGTGTAATAAATAATGGTTTTGATTTGATATGACACTTGTAGTCTCTTACAAGTGGCATAACTACAGGGAATAGAATAATCTCTTCCCCTTGTGAAGACAAACGTCATATCAAACCAAAGCGTCTCATTTAAATTACTACTTCCCTTTTTTGCCATATGAAAAGATTCATGAGACTTCATTAAATAATAGTACAAGCCAATTAAAAGGATGCTTTGGCCGAAATGCCTTGAAGGAATTTTTAGTATCAGACATAGTTAATTTACATAGGGTACCACTAAAAGAGGCCTGATCCAAATGAAGAACTTTTACTTTTTGCAGTAAGTTTCACAGTCATGGCCACACTGAACTAGAAGGTGCTTTTCTGATCTCAGTTAGGCTGAAACCTTCAATGCAAATGAAGCCTGATGAACAGAGGAATCTGCTGTCTTGACTGCTTTTCTTGTGAGGAAGAGGTATAGAATATATTTGGATCCTACAGAACTTGGAAGTGCTCATATTGGTTTTATTCATGTTTTGGCAGAGAGAAGGAGCAAGAAAGGGAAGAACAGTTAATGGAAGACAAGAAAAGGAAGAAGGAGGATAAGAAAAAGAAGGAATCTGCTCAGAAGGTAGGTGTTGATATTTGAGTTCTTCTATCCAACTGGAGCATAAATAGTATTGGGGATGGTAAAATATTAAATTACTTGTATTTGAGAATAAAACCTCTTCTTGCCTAAGTTATAGTAATGCTTCATTAAAGATTTTCTGCATTATTTGTCTTGAACTTCAGTTTTTAGTGAACTTTAATATTTTTTCTCTTTGGTTTTGTCAGGCAAAGAAAAAGTAATCTGTTTTGTGATAAGAAATATTTAATTAATGTTCCTGAATATGGGCACTCAGTATGTGCATTTTGCAGCATTTGGAAGTATTTGGGGATGGGAACGCTACAAATTCTTTAAAAAGGTTATGTGAAATATTTCTGAAGTTGCTTTTATTGTTTGTTACGTATGGTTTACGTTTTACATTTTCTCTGCCCAGTAACGCTTTTGTTGAAGTGGAGATTCTTGAAGAATCACTGAGAATTGTTTATGCTCAACAGATGAGTTTGAACACTTGGTTTGTTCAGAAATGCTCTCTTTTGTTAAAAATGTAGTAGATCATTCTAGGAATTAACCTGAAGTGTGAACTCAACATCTCTTGCAACTTTATATGTGCTTTTTACTTAAGTCCTCTCCGTCTTGTTTTGGGCATCCCAGTCCAAGATGGTTGTAAGGATCCTTGAGTGGAATCAGCAAAGGGCCCCAGAGGTAATGGAAGGACTGGAGTACCTGACAGATGAAGGGAGGCTGAGTGAGCTGGAACTGCTCAACCTGGAGAAAAGGAGGGACAGGGGAGCATGTGTAGATGTTTGGTGGGAGGGAATAAAGAAGATGCAGCCAGGCTCTTCTCCGTGGTGCACAAGACAGGACGTGAGGAGGGGAGCACAAATTGAAATAAAAGAAATTCTACTTAATCATAAGGGGATATTTTTGTGAGCGTGTGTGTGAATGGGCAACCACTAGAACAGGTTTGCTGGAGAAGTTGTGGTTCTTTGGAGATGCTTAGAAGCAAGTTGGACGTGGCCCCGAGCAACTTGGGTTTGGTAATTTGCTTTGAGCTGGGAGACCCACAGGTTGAGGGAGAACCACTACAGACTGCTGCATCTCCAGAGGCTGTGCTTCCCAACCTCAACAGTAATGTGAGATCGAAAGCAGAGTGCTTTACTTTCAGTAGTCCTTGTTTTTCAGTTACTTTAGATTCTACGTCTTACTATTCTCCTGTTAGGTTATGTAGCTTTGTGTTAAGAACAGCTGATACTGATTTTGCAGTGTCAGTTAAATTTTAGTTCATCAGGAGCTTTTAAGTCTGGTTTGTTTGTTTGTTTTTTCACCAATTTAAGTGTATCACTTTAAAATTGGTGCAGATAAACCTAGTATAATTCTGTTGTCCTTAGTCCAGTGTCATGATGATGCATCCCCAATAATACTGCAGAAAATCAGTAGCTGCAGAATAAGGTTTCTTCAGCATCTGTCTTTTTTCCTTCAGTGTTGCTGCTTTTTTTTTGTTCAAGTAGAAAATAAAAATAGATGATGTGTTTTCAGCCATGTAAGAACCAGGAAAGACAAAGGCCTGTAAGTAAAGAGTAGTGATTTAGGGATTATATGCTAATACTCCTCACAACAAAAACTTGGAAAGGTTGTACTGATAGTGTTGATAACAGTGCTGAGTGTGTTTACAGAGGAATCAGTACTTTGAATACAAAGGAGATTTGCCAGCTTTCCTGTGTGGTCCCTCATCTACTAAGTTATTTGCTGTGATTGCACGTTAAGATACTTTGCCAAAATCTGGGAAGAGGTAAACACTGAAAATAAATTAATCTCCTGGAGACCAAGTGTAAGAGTAATACTTGAAGACAGCTGGGAATATAGGCAGAACGTAAACGTGTCCATTCTTAGTGATTGCAGTGATGGTCACCAAAAAAACAGCAATGATTTGGGGGGTAGCTCTTTCAGATAGGGTTTATATAACATGAAACAGCTGTGTCTGTCTTGATCTTCAGAAACTTAACAAAAGAAAAAGATGAAAATCACCAAAGGTTATGCAAGCAGATTCATAGACTGAATTCCTGTGGCTTGTGTCCCAGGGGCTGTTTGGTAGCTTGTCAGAAGGCTGAGATTGGCCCCGTCCTGCCAGTGCTCACAGGTTTCCCACAGAGAGATGACGGCTGTAAGTCTGAGACAGGCAGTCACTTTCTCAGCTTCTGTATTCTGGATCTGAAAAATCACAAAATCAGATAGTTTTGACTGTGGATGTAACATAGGCAAAAGTATTTTTTTAATCTAAGACAGCTGTGGTTATAATTTAGGTGAAGTGGTGTTCTTCCAAGTAGACAAGTTATTTACAGAACGTGTTTACTCTTACTATAGGAAACCTATCAGCATTACAGCGTTGGTTTCATGAATTCTTTTATTCCATTTCACCTTCCTTTAGTAACGGAGGGTTACAGTCACTTAAGTGCTTAACAGAATTTTAGCTGCTCGAGAGGCAGATATGGCTTCACACACGTGGGATGTTTCCTAAAAGAAATGAAAACTGACATCTGGCACAGTACGGACACATTTTTGGTATGGGTGCATTGTTGATTTCTTAGAAGAGTTGCATAAATCTGAAGTTAGGATGTTTGAGTTTGGTTTATATTTTAGTGAATACTTCTCTTTGCATATTGCACTCTTCACCTTTGTGAAGTAAATGATGCCGCAGCAATTCAGGACAGTTTGTCTTTTTATTCTTTACCATACAAAAGTGTTCTGGTTTGGTTGGCTTAAACAATAAACTGCTTTTTACTTGTGCTTTCATTATTCTATACTGTCCCTGTGTGCTTTCCAGAATTATGGACTAGCTCAGCAATTTCTTTTTCAGAACAGGTATCATAGAGCCTGACACATGATGATCTTTAGAGTTTTTCTATTGTTGTGTAGTGGAACTCATGATCGACAGGATCAAAACATGCCACAATTCACATGATTCCAGAGAATATGCCAGTGATATGTTTGTGTCTACTGTAGCTTGAAATCTGCTATGCTGTAAGAATGTAGAAGTACAGCAAAAAAACGCATTGAGTGCATTGGCCAGCATGATGGCTCACTTCAGTAATCAACTGCTTGCATTCAAGTGATGTTGAAGCCTGGTGCTTTATAGGTATTTCTGGTACTTTTTGTAATTGAAACAACGAACCTCCTGTCACCCTGGGGAAGATGCTATGGGAAAAGTGAAAGGGAAGGTGGCAGAGATAGATTGGTACTCTCACATACAGCGGCCTTGTGGGAATTCTGTTGCTAGCCCCAACAATCTGCTGTAGGTATAGTTGCATAGGGGGTAGGATTTATTACACTTTAACTGCAATATTTAATGTGCACAGTCTGAAGAAACTGTAATGGTATATAGCTGAGGTTTATTTGTGCTTCACGAATTAACGTTGAGCTTATTCATGCTTCACGAGTAGGTGTTTGGCAAGTGGAAGGGGGTGAGTACTAACAATCAAGAATACAGTAATCACTGTTTATGCCAGATAATTTTGTATGAGGCAAAGGTATTCCAGAAACTGTGTTGTTCTTAACAATTTATATATAAGACATAAATAGTTCTGATGCTTGCAGTTCATCAGCTGATTATTTTCTTTCAGCTTATACCGATTTTATGCTTATAAATTCATGATGTAGTGCAGCCTGCTGAATGTTTGTTTTGAGGTTCTTACAACTGTATTTACATTCTTGCTCTTACTTTGCAGGTCACAGATCAAAAAACCAAAGGTAAGAGTCTTTGTTTAATCCTAAAGAGTGTTTTTATTGACTTGAGCCCAAACTTGGTTTTGATCAAAGCTGTTAGAGAAGGGAGTTGTGATTCGAGATGAAGTACTCAAAATGAGCATTCGGAAGAGAGAAGAAGCTAAGAGGATTAAAATGGAGAAACTAAAACTACCCATTTCGTCAGCACCAGAATACTAGAAGTGAAAATGGTGGCTGTAGATAAAATAGGCCAGCTAGAATATTTAGCCCAACTTTCAAATTTACAAAGGTTTTAGATGAGTAACTGAAAACAGAAACCTACTGTATAAATGGAATGGAAGACAGGGAAAGTACTGCACGTGGTGACGTACCGAAACGAGTGAAAAAGACTTGTTTCTGCAAAATTAATTAAGAGATAATGAAGTCCAAGCACCTAAAAGTCAAAAAGATGAGGCAGAACTGAAGAATGAACAGCCTGAATGTTTGGCTTATTTAGCCAGTATGTATGTCAGTTTTCTGAAAATTGCGTGAGGAAGTTGCCATTAAAAAGAAATGGCAGAGAAGAGCTAAGGTAGTACTTGATTTTACAGCTGACAATACCTTTTTTTTTGTTGTTTAGGAGCAATGAAACCTATATAGAGAAGTCAGAAAATGCTCATCAAAAAACAATATGTGGGGGATAATGCATTCACAGCTCCCAGAGAGAGACTCCCTGGTGCTGATCTCTCTTTTGTAAGAGCAAAAGTTTTGCTGATAATGCTCACTTTGGTGAGAAGGGGTTGCTGAGCATGCTTTTCTCGTATTAGTCTCCAGCAGAGGCTATAGCAAATGTATTAAATTTTCCTCTTTGGATTCTGTTAGTGAATTATTACAGGTATGTGACTAAGGTAATGCCTGATTTTCTTTTGCAGTATTTCAAAAAGCGCAGGGAGAGTATTAGTAAGGGGACACAACCCCCCCCACCCCCAGTTTTGGACAGTATTACTTTCTCAAGGATTTGTCTGCATTTTTACTTTTCTCTGTGGCACAGTAGCCTTCAGGAGCAGCTTGTCCTTGCTTATAGAGGCATCTGGTGACCAGGTGGTAAACTTTAGGCATGCCCAGTACAAACGCTGTAGGTAGGACTGCTTTTTGAATAAGAGTCAAATATTACTGCCTTATTTCAGAGCATATTAGAGCTCTTGGACTTGTTAATTCTCAATTGTTGAGGAGGGTCTTTTGCTCTGTGTTCTAGCAGTGGCCAAAGCAAGTGAAACTTAGAATCTGATTTCAGGTCTCCAGTAAGGGTGATGCATAACAATCCTAAAACCAGTTGAAGATGGGGAAGAGAAGGGGAAAAAAAGGTTATGTATGACTGTTCATCTTTTAAAACTTCTCCTGACCTAGGGTGTTATCAAAATCGATACTTCAGGAGGCTTGCCAAGGGCAGAGTTCCAATTAAATTTTATCTGTATAAGGCTGAAGCTGCATGGTATTTCAGAGAAGAATGGCATTATAAAAGAAAAGAGTTGCAGCGACTTCTTGTAGCTAACGCAGGTTTGAGTGGAAAACTGCCTAACTTTGATTTTTCCTATTTTTCAGTGCCCGAAGTGACGAAACCAAGTTTAAGCCAACCAGTGGCTGCCAGCCCAATTGGCAACTCTCCATCGCCACCAGTCAATGGTGGCAACAATGCCAAAAGGGTGGCAGTGCCGAACGGACAACCGCCAAGCGCCGCCCGCTACATGCCTCGGGAGGTGCCGCCGCGATTCCGTTGCCAGCAGGACCACAAAGTGTTACTGAAACGTGGGCAGCCCCCTCCACCATCCTGTATGCTCCTTGGGGGTGGAGCAGGGCCTCCTCCCCCGACAGCACCAGGAGCAAACCCAAACAACGCACAACCAGTGACAGGAGCACTGCTGCAGAGCGACAGTGGGACTGCAACAGGTGAATAAGGATAATGACGTTACGTACACGTGTGTGCGCGCTCGTAAGAAAAGGGATCACTGAAATTGTGCACTTAAAGAATTCTGGAAAGCTGACTCCTAGTGTTTTAGCGCGTACACTTTTCCTTTCCTGTTAGCAGCACTGTATGCAATTTTTACTACTGTCTGGAACCAGAAAGGTAATTATTTTTTTTAAAGATACGCATGTTTTGAGTGGTTTGAATTGGATACCGTAGGGCTCTTTGGACCACAAGAAGGTAAATAAAACATAGGGATAAATAGGTAGCATTTAATAGCTGTCGTTGAGTAGTTCTTAGTATCTCCTAAGGTTTCTTTGATGCAGTTCTTCTGTTGTCACTTCTTAATATGACCTAGTAGAGCAGGCATCAGAGTTTTACAGTTAGTTCGTATAGGTACCAGGTTTGCAAATAACAGGTGTCTGTCACTTCTCATCTGGATAAAATAGCAAGGTGGTCCCTCTGCTCCTGAGTTTTCCTTTTTAGTAACCTTCTTGAATTTCTCCTTCCGTAAGCCTTTTCATAATAGTTTTCCTTAAAATACATCCTAGATACTTAAAAAAATTTAACAAGCATTTTTCTTTTGCTTTTCTGAACACTTTGAATTATGGCCAGTATGTTTATTTTAAGTTTGTTTTGTGAGAACAGGAAAATTACTAACTGTTCTTCATTTTTTTTTTTTTTTTTTAGTAGCTTGAGGGATTGCAGTAACAGTAATATTTCCTTCTTAACTTACAGTAATAGAAAAAGAAAAGTCCACTTGGGACATCTAAAGAAAAGCTTAGTTGATCTGAGAATTCAAGGACAACTTCATTTCTAACAATCAGGATTTAAAATAAAGTCAAAAAAAGGAAAAATGCTACCATTATGTCTGTTTTGAAAACCCCAACAGAGTGGATTATTTTACCCATCACTGAGAGCATAAACTTTTGAGTTCTCTGCAGTCCACGAAAAGATGAACTCTGAGCTGATTTGAAACTCTGGAATGTAGTAAGCTAGCTGAGGTGGTTTTGTTTCTATTTTAAAAGTTCCTAGGAAAATGAATAATTTAGTTTGTTTTGCCTCTTCCACACTTGAATTCCTTTGTAGTGAATCGCTGTTTGACAGATTTTTTGTCTTACTGTCTCTCATGTTCCCTGTTTAATGGTGGGCAAGTTTTAAGCTAAAACAGAAAAACATTAGCTAATTGGTTTAGAAATGTATCAGTTAGAGATGGCTGTTTCTGATAAACACACCTGAAAGAGGAATGGTGAGGAAATAAGCACCACAAAAAACAACAGCCCGAAGTTTTCACACCTGAGGTATAAAATCCTAGCATTATGTCAGCATTAATGTACCTTCACAGTGATAGGCTGACAAAGGAGACATTGTGGTAGTGAAACATTCTAAAAATACATGAGATTTCTCATTTCTTCCAACAACAATTTTTTTTTTTTGATTGAACTTCATTAAGACCAATTTGAAGTATTTTAGACACTTCTTAAGTTCTGCGTAATTATTATGTGTTCAACAGCTATTATTTAGTTTTTAGACTGACCTCAAGTTTTATGAATTCTGGTATTTCAGCTTTAACTCAATTACTGAGATTATGTTATATGGTTGTATTTTATTGATTGTGGCAACATTTATGGCCACAGTCTTATGCAAGTCTGGAGTGTTGCCAAGAAAGATCTGCGCCCTTCAGACTTGCCTCACCCTATCCGAACACACTTCTGCACCATAACACAGTATCTGGGCCAAGGAGCTGACTTGGATTAAAATTAACCCAAGTTGGTGTTTAAAGCTCATTTCAGTCTGGATAATTTCCCAGTTGAGCTCACTGACTGTCAGTAGCAACACGGATGATAGCACATGGGAGTAGGTGTGGCAGAGGACTGGAAATGAGCAGCTGTTTAAGAGGAAGGTTAGTGCTACACTTAAAAGGCTTCAGGAAATTGTTTGTGGAAGCAAGATTTTGCCGTGCCTCTCCTGTCACTAATTCCTTCTGGGATCCTGGCTGTTTACAAATTGGGTGTCAGATTTGGACTTAATTTTGTCAAGCAGCCATGTATTATGATGAACTCATCACACACACACACACACACACACACACACACGCACACATGCACACACACATGCACACAAACACATGCAAAAAGGCAGATTCCCAAAGGGGAAAATAATTTAGGTAATTCTTCTCGTTGTTAAATTCACCAAATGGCTGTAGGTGGTGTTGATGAATTCTTCAATTGCCAGTAACTGATCCATTTTTTAAAAATTATTATTTTGCTGTCCTATAGCAGTACAGCTTCTATACAAAACAAAGGAAAACAAACAGAACTGAACTACAGCAAGAGCAGTTATTAATACAGAAGGTCAAGACCTAATCCTTCTTCACATGTATGTTTTCCTGCCAGAATTGAAATGCAGTGTAAGCTGGCAAAACTCTAATCTCTTGAAAGATGACTTCTGTTTACCAAGCTTACTACTGTCTTGTAGCAATGCTGTCAGTTAGAGGGTTGTATATCATTTTTCTACTACGAGTCATGTTCAGAACACGCAAGACATTTTTTGAAAACAAAGCTTAAATTCTATTGGTTAACATCTTTCAATCATCATAGTATCCTCCAGGAATCACCAGATGGTCTCTCACACTGAAACTGAATCTTTGTTTCAGGACTCCATTTCAGTACTTTCACTTATTTCAGTTCCTTTTTCATCCTTAAAAGTAAATGTTTTGAATTGAAAAAAAAAAGAGTGAGGAGGGAAGGATGAGGTTACTCACTGTAGAAAGGATGGAATCACACTTCCTTGCTCTTCTTAAGTTTGCAGTTGACATTAAAATAACAGAAGGAGCAGAATGAGCATGGGAATTGCATGATTTTTTGGATTTTGGTGGACTAGGGTTAATGGATGAAGACAGTCTTCAGTTCATCAGATTTGAAAGCTTCCGTTATAACTAATCATGATCAGAAATGTCAGTCTTCACTCTTGAGTACATAACACACGTACTTTAAAAAAATCAACTGTTTTTATAAGTCATTATAACTGTATTAGTGTTCAGTGTGAGTTTGTAGAACAGAGAGTGTTCAGTCTTCATTACAGAGAATTTGTGGGCAGTTTCAGATGTGTAGAAAAGTAAATGGCACTATGTAGAGAGCAACGTAGAAGTAGAAATGAAATGAAATTATTTAGATGAGCAAAGGTAACTTTGGGTGGAAGGGGAAACCTTGTCTGACTTTTTAAATTGATATGAGAACTATCTGTACATGTGCAAACATTATGCTGTTAGCACTGACATAGGCTTCATTGTGGCATTGTGTGTTAATTTGTGTGCTTTAAAACTGTATACAAATACCTTGACATTGTGGTCCTATTCCTAGTCATTTCTCCTGTCATTTTCTTTCACTGACTCTAAGAGTTATTGGACTTGGAGATTGCCCTATACAATGCAATGTTAGCAAAAGCTATCATATCAAGAAGTGGACAGTTTGCTGATGAGTTTGTGAATACAGTTGACTTAGTTAAAGGGCTGTTGGAACTGTCACAGATGAGAGGTGAGACTTGGCAAATGTGGAGTAGATCAGGTAAAAGAGAGGAGGAAATGTTTGATATCTTGTTAACTTTTGTCTAGTGGTGGAGAGATTGATTCAGTTTCTCACAAAACCACAAACTGTGATTTATGTGGTAAAGAAGTGATAGAAATGTGGGATAATTACATGCTGAATACAGCTTGCATGCTACTACATAGAAATTATAATTTGTGTAGGTTTGACTCTTTTGGTTTACTCTTTTCAGCATAGCTTTGGGAAAGAAAACTCTTTGTAAGGGTGTAAAGAAACTTCTACTAGCAAAATCAACTTAAAAAAAGATCTGAAGTTAAAGGATATGCTTCTTCAGCCTTATATTCCTTTTATGTTTTTCATCTTTTCTGTCTGTCAGAAATACTCGCGTATTGAATTAGTCGCTTTGTTGAATCAGTCATAGAATCATGGAGTATCCTTAGTTGGAAGTGACCCATAAGGATCGCTGAGTCCAACTCCTGGCTTCACACAGGATCACCCAAAAATCAGACCATATGCTTCTTGAACTCCATCGTGTAGCTGTCAGTCTCCTACTTGACTATGCAAACATGCATACATAAAAGTGTGTGCACATATATATTCTTGTTCTGTGCATAGTATGATTTTTATCTGTTTTTGAGAAGTCTACAAGTAGTGCCAGAAGTGACCATACGGGTTCATTTTAGTGAGTTATAATCATTGTGTTGAACTTGAATCAGCTGGACTGTAAGCCACAGAGAGGCTTAATCATGAATTTAGGTGCCCACAAACTGCTTCTGGGGAATTTCTTAAAACACATTTTAAATCTGTATTTTTAATGGTCTTATCTAGCCTCTTGTTCTTCCTAAGCAACTTTGTTGCATTGCATGAGAAAAGGATTAATATATTAATTGAATCAATAGTCAGTGGTGTCAAAAATGTGATGTTCAGTGTTTCTAGAGAGTGTTGAATATTAATGGCCTTTTGGGGTCCTCTTTATGCTTTTTTTTCTTTCTAGATTCAACAATTGGAGGTGCTGCTGCTTCAAATTATGCAAATTCCACTTGGGGTCCTGGAGCCTCCTCCAACAGCGGCACCAACGCCAACCCAACTCACATCTGGGACAAGGTGATTGTAGACGGGTCTGACATGGAAGAGTGGCCTTGTATCGCCAGCAAAGATGCTGAGTCTTCTTCCGAAAACACCACCGATAACAACAGTGCCTCGAACCCTGGCTTGGAGAAGAACACTCTGCCAGGAAGCACCACTAGTAACAAAGGAAAAGGAAGCCAGTGCCAGTCTGGAAGCGCTGGAAATGAATGTAATCTTGGGGCCTGGAAATCTGATCCCAAGGCTAAATCTGTTCAATCTTCCAACCCTGCTGCCGAGAGTAACAATGGACTAAGTAATTGGAGGAACTTGACTGGACAAGATAGAATTGGTTCTGGTTCTGGCTTCAGCAACTTTAACCCAAATAGCAACCCGTCTGCTTGGCCAGCACTGGTCCAAGAGGGCAATTCTAGGAAAGGGACTTCGGAATCTGATAGTGGTAGCTCCAATGCACAGATTAGCACAGTAGGTCAGACCTCTAGGGAACAGCAGTCAAAGATGGAAAATGCGGGTGTTAACTTTGTCTCTGGCAGAGAACAGGCTCAAATTCATAACACTGATGGACCAAAAAACGGAAACACTAACTCCTTGAACTTAAGTTCACCAAACCCTATGGAGAATAAGGGAATGCCCTTTGAAATGGGCTTGGGGAACCCTTCCAGGAGCACTGACACCCCTTCACAAAGCACTGGAGAAAGAAAGACTGGGAGTGTTGGGTCTTGGGGTACAGCTAGGGGGTCTTCTGGAACTGACACAGTCTCTGGACAGAGCAATTCTGGAAACCATGGGAACAATGGAAAGGATAGGGAGGACTCCTGGAAAGGAGCTTCTGTTCAAAAACCTAATGGGTCAAGAAGCGATTCTTGGGATAACAATAACCGGTCTACGGGTGGTGGGTCTTGGAACTTTGGCCCTCAGCATGCAAATGAAAGCAAATGGGGTGAAGGGAACAAATTAACATCTGGGGTCTCTCAGGGAGAATGGAAACAGCTGTCTGGGTCTGATGAACTGAAGATTGGAGAATGGAGTGGTCCAAACCAACCAAATTCTAGCACTGGAGCATGGGACAATCAAAAAGGCCACCCTCTTCCTGAAAACCAAGGCAATTCCCAGGCTCCCTGTTGGGGAAGATCTTCCAGCTCTGCAGGAAGTGAGGTTGGAGGTCAAAGCACTGGAAGCAACCACAAAGCAGGAAGTAGTGACAGTCACAATTCTGGACGCCGATCATATAGGCCTACACATCCTGATTGCCAGGCAGTCTTGCAGACTTTGCTGAGCAGGACTGATTTGGACCCCCGAGTGCTTTCAAACACTGGCTGGGGCCAAACACAAATTAAGCAAGATACCGTATGGGATATTGAAGAGATGCCACGGCCTGAGGGGAAGTCTGATAAAGGAACTGAGGGGTGGGAGAGCTCTGCCACACAGACAAAGAACTCAGGGGGCTGGGGCGATGTACCCAGCCAAAGCAATCAAATCAAGTCTGGATGGGGTGAGCTCTCAACCCCAACAGAGTGGAAGGACCCCAAAAATACTGGAGGATGGAATGACTATAAGAACCCCAATTCGTCTAATTGGGGAGGGGGAAGACAAGAAGAGAAATCATCATCTTCTTGGAATGACAGCTCTAGTAAGGATCAGGGGTGGGGTGGACGACAGCCTAATCAAGGATGGTCTTCTGGAAAGAACGGTTGGGGAGAGGAAGTTGACCAAGCAAAAAACAGCAACTGGGAAAGTGCAGGAAATAAGCCAGCATCTGGTTGGGGTGAAGGTGGGCAAAATGAGATTGGAACTTGGGGTAATGGTGCAAATACAGGCTCTGCTTCAAAGGGTGGTTGGGATGATTGTAAAAGAAATTCAACGTGGAACGAGACGGGTCGACAGCCCAACTCCTGGAACAAGCAGCAGCAACAGCAACAGCAGCAGCAGCAGGAGACTTCTGGTTCCTGGGGTCCACCGCCACAAACTCCAAGTAATGGGCGACCTCCAAACCCAAACTGGAACAGCGGACCACAACCAGCTGCCCCCAAAGACGAGGAGCCTAGTGGCTGGGAAGAACCTTCTCCACAGTCAATCAGTCGGAAAATGGATATTGATGATGGCACTTCAGCGTGGGGAGATCCTAGCAGTTATAACTACAAGAATGTGAACCTGTGGGACAAGAACTCACAAGGAGGACAGGCCCCACGGGAACAGAGCCTGCCTACTCCAATGACTAGCAAATCACAAACATCAGGTACTCATTCCTTTCTTCAGCAAATTTCTATGATCGTAACCCTTATGCATAAGAGAGACGCTTGTAGCCTAGAGCTGATAGCATTATTTCATAATGAAAAACCATTTCTTACTTGAATGTTTGGTCCTGAATTCAAGTGTCATTAATTTGAATCAGACAGTCCTCTGCTTATTGTGCCTTTGATCTGAACACCGGTCAGCTTGCCAGTAAAAAAAAAAAAAAGTGTTAGCTGGCAAGTATTCTATCTGAGAAGGGTTGAATTCTTACAGAACTTTTATTTAATTACTAGAGAAACAGGGAAAAATTCTGTATTTGTTTTGAGTCAAAAACTGTTTGCTTTGAAACATGGTTAATAGCAGTTGACACTGAGTGAGCATGTGGTTTAGTTTCATAGCTCAATTTGGTTCTACTATATGATGAAGAATATTTAGCAAAGTATTTTCTTCTTTGAAATAATAATTTGAAAAAAAAATCAAGAAATCAACCTTACATAGCCTGGAAATAAGTAAGGTGTACTGTTATGTTTTTAGTTGTTCTTCAGTGTATGAAAACCCCAAATGGTCTGGTGCTTTCAGTTAAAAGAAGTTCACCAGAAGATAAAATAGGATTAGGTTCATAATTAACCTGAGAGAAGAATATTATTCATCCTTATGTTCTTTCTTTTCATACCTGAAGCTCAGAGCCCACCATGAACAGTTGATACGAACAGTTTTTGATTCTGTTTCACCCACTCTATTGAGACCTCAGAGTCTTCAGCAGACGTAATGCAGTAGAATAATGACATGGTGCTGCACTGCAGTAAATAGTTCGTTGTCTAAATGGTCTGTAATGAAAACTCTTTCTCCTTTGTGCAGTCTGGAGCAAAAGCACTCCACCTGCTCCAGATAATGGTACGTCCGCCTGGGGTGAGCCAAATGAAACCAGTCCCGGGTGGGGTGAAGTAGATGATACAGGAGCATCGACAACAGGCTGGGGGAATGCACCTTCCAACGCCCCGAATGCCATGAAATCTAGTGAGTATAGGACAGATACTAGTTTATTTGCAGTGGTCCTGGAGACTTCTAGCGTTTGGCTTTTTGATATAGGTCACCCATGGAGGAATTGTTATTTGAGGCTTAGAAGCAATGCTGAATGTAATGTAAGATATTGGTGGATGAGTGATTAAGTGCTTACCAATGACTGGATACTTACCTTTAAGGGAATGGAGGCGTTCTTTACCTGAGTGCTTAAATGGACAGCTTTGATTTGTGCAAGTGTTGAAGCAGTAGAGCATCTGAGCGAGGAAACAATTCTTTTTCTCACTTCATCTTTTCTCTGTCTGCTCACTGTACAAACTCATTACATGGTAAATCATCTTTTCTGATCACATCAGGCATAAGAATGTGCAGTTTATAGAAACATTCCACAGTAGGAGTGCGTGAAGTGCCTTTGAATGGACTTTCTTGCTGCATGAATGTAAAAAACTCATAAATTGACCTTCCCCTTGTGGCCTAACCTAAATGGCTGAATATTTCTAGATATTGCCTGCCTGCAGCTATGCTTCTCCATGAATGAGATCCTGTTGAGCCTTTTTTAAAAAAAATTACTTCGAAGTTGAATCCTACTCTATCAAGTTTGATTTGTATGGAAGTTATTCCTGATGTAAACTGTTGGTAGAACTTTTATTTCACCGCTCTTAAGGAAAATGGAACAAACAAAGCAATCTCCCGCTGGTACAGCATAGCAGTGTTACAGCCAAAGACAGTGACTTTCAGTTATTAAGTTTCCATTAGGAAATATTGATAATACTCACTGTTTCTGAACTTCAGTGGTTATACCAGCGGTAAGACTTTCCAGTTACAAGTTATTCTTACAGCATGTGATTGTCTGGGGTGAAATGCTGTGTAAGGATTGTTTGCTGTTCTGACATTTTCTCTTACCCACACTCAAACAATTAGGCCATTTATGAAACAAAACTGGAAAATTCCAGTAACATCTCTTGTAACCTTTATTGGGTGGCCATGGTACTTCTTGTACCTGTCAGACAAACTTGGCTCTTTTCAAGATGCTAGAATTTTTCTAGATGGGTCATCTTCCTTCCTTTGTAAAAAGCTACTTAAGTGTGACCAAAATAAAAGCCTCTGAGGTACTAACAATCCATTGAAAAATCTGTGGATTTTTAAATATTTAAGATAGTCTTTCAAGACTACAAATAATCACTTGCTTGTCCTAGCTGGTCTGCATATGTGACATAACCAAAGAGCTAAAGCATATGTGTTGTGCTTTGTGTATAAGTTGTTTCCACCTCAGGAAGAGCAAAATACAGGGGTTTTTCCCTGTGTTGGCTGTTAAAGTATGTCACCAGCATTAAGAACTGGGATCTTCATTCTCCTGTGTACTGTGAATGCTCTACCAAGTCTTTTCTAATTGGCAGCCAGACAGAACAAAGGAGAAAACCACATTATTCAGTGGATTAAGGAGGGATATTTCATATCTTGGGTAAGCTGGAAAAGGAAACTGGGGCAAAGAGCCTGCAAAGTTGTAATTGGTTGAAAGTAAAGAGAGGAAATAAAGACTAGCACCAGCTGGACAAGAAAATTACAGTTGAAAGCCAAGGAAGGAAGTGGAAGATGAGGTGTGACAAAAAAAACCAACCAACCCCAAGAGATCTAAATGAGCAGAAAAGGTAGTGAAAATAGGTTTCTTGTATGTATTATGAGGAAGAGGTAGGACAGGAGAGAATCATGCAACCAAAGAGTGTAGAGCTTAGCATAGGAAAGCTGCATGAAGTAAAGAAATGCAAGGCAGAGTAAAAGTTACCCCGTGGGAGAGTGCTCAGTTGTACTTTCGGAGAATATTCTGTTCTTAACTTTGCATAGATAAGGTCAAGACAGAAATTGTGCCATTACTGCTTGTGAAAGCCATTGGCATAATATCCCGTTCCTCTACAGTGCTGGCTAATAGCAGTCCTTATTCACAGTACTGTTAACTCCAGTGGTAGGAGTCTGTGCAGTTGGTTGAAGGTTTCAGCTTAACTGAAGGCATGTGAGTGTCCATATGATACTGTCTTATGGATTGTGTTTTTGTTTGTTGTGTTTTTTTCAGTCGTGATTGGTTAAATAAAAACTAAATGATGATGAGAAGTCATGTGGTTTAAAGTCTCTGAAATGTTGATTTGCTCCGTTATATCACGTATCCTGTGATGGCTTTCCATGGAAAGAAGGGTTTTGTGTAGGACCTGAAATACTCTAAGTTGTCCAACAAACAAGTACTTTTGGTTGTTTGTGTGAGCGTGATTGGTGTGATCTCCATTTTGCATTTGATGAATAGAGGCACGCAGATTTTGAGAAGACTTATTTTGATTTTGAATTCTTTATCTGGCTAACTAAGGATTGGAGGTTTTGCATTTACATATCTTCATGTAACTACACGTAGCATTTCAATTGGACTGTACTGTGCTATAGCTCCATCTGACCTTAAGTTGCATATGCAGAAACTTAAGGTCATTGCCTGCTTGTTAAAAAAAAATTAAAATTACAAAGTTTCATCAGCACTGCATAGGAATTGCTTAGTTTTTTTGTAACAACGTAATTTTGTTGGTACCTTGAAAGCTTCATTTTCTTACTGTATGTAATTGTGCCTTCTCACTCAACACGTGAAGAAAATAAAGCAGGAGTTCTGCTGACAAGGCTTCTTTATACCACTGTTCTGATTTGTGTTCAAGATCTCAGACCTGAGAGCTGTCAATGCAGAAAATTCTCTCTGGTCATGTAGTTAAAACCAGGATCATAGTACTATATTTAAACACCATGGCTGGAAATAAGTTAAAGCCTTTTCTGTGTAAGTAGCATGATTAAAGGATCAAGAGGCAGATTTTTGTGTTTGGACCAATATGGCGCCTACGCAGGTCTGAGTTTTGGTGCAGAAATGTGTGTTGAAAGGTGAAGTTTCCTGTGAAGTAGTTCAGTCGTTGTCTGTGGTGAGGTTTAAGGTAGCTCTTAAATTGCCATGAAAAGCTGCTGTACTTATCTTCAGCCTGATACGGGCAGATTTCCCCATGATAGATTAATTACATTTCCTGACTGCTATTTATATTCAGATTTCCTGCTACATTCTTATTCCTCATTTCCACTCTCAAACCCCAGACAATTGAAGGATTAGTGAGAGAAAGGTGGTGATGGTAGAGTTCCTTTCTAAAGGAGATGAGTGCTTGGAGAAGAAATGCACAGATGGAGGAGTTGCAGTAGGAAGGAGAATGATTGGACAGTGGACAAGATAAAGATTTGGGCTTTTATTGGCTTGTTAGAAGACTTAAAATTCTAAGTTTCATGGCAGCTGTTATTAGGGAGTAATGACAAAAGAAGGCAACAGGGACAAGAAGCCCTTAGCATGAGTTTGTATGATGGAACTGTAACTTTCTGGTAATGATATCTCTGTTGAAACAGTACTGCTAATGAGTCTTCTTAGTGCTACTGTTAAAGCTGGAAATCAAAGAGATTTTTGACAGATTAAACTTGTTTTGGTGTTGCTTATGCAACAGAGCACAATGTCAGGTCCTTTCCTTCAGATTCTGCTTTGTTGTTTTTCTTTTAAGTTCTTCATTTCTGTGTTCTGTGAAAGGGTTCAGCGTGGTGGAAATGTGGTACAGTTTTGAAGGAAAACAGGAAATTATTCACAAATCAGGAACCGGAATCCTCAGCACCCTTTGGATTTTTTTCCTTAAGTGTCTTTGGAGTCTTTCATTTACATAAGAAAGTAATAGGTTGCCTTTTAAAGCAGCAGTAGTTGCAAGAGAGAAGTTTGTGTTGATTGTTATTTCTTTTAAAGATTTAATGTTGCTTGAAAATTCTTGCAAAATAAGACATACTAGCATGCCACCAGATCTCTTGGATTGTGGAGTTCATACTCAAGTTTTTACTGCTGTTGGAGTGAATACACTTTTGTTTTTGACTTTTGCGGTTCTGACAATTTCAGCTAATGTTGCAGCATCTAGTCACCTGCTGCATGGTACTATGGGCTTATTTTTGAGCTTTTCTTTCTTCTTCTCAAGGTTCTAAATCTATGCAAGATGGCTGGGGAGAGAGTGATGGGCCAGTGACAGGCACACGTCATTCCAGCTGGGAAGAGGAGGAGGAGGGAGGAGTCTGGAACACAGCAGGCTCTCAGGGAAGCAGTTCCTCCCATAACTCAACAAGCTGGGGGCAAGGAGGAAAGAAAACACAGATGAAGGTAAAACACTGGAATGATTCATAACTACAGTGTTGTCTGAAAGCAGTGTGACTGATATGTTGGAGCATTTCTAATAGTTATTCTTCAAAGAGGTATTATACAGAATTCAGCTAGAAAGGTGCCTGGTAGAGCAGCATAAAAAATACGAGATTTTTGGATTTGTTTAATGTGTTACACCTGTTGTGACTAACAGGTCTGCCAAAAAGTGTCATATTCTCTTGCTTTGAAGGCTGCAGAGCCATTGCTAAATGAAACTGAGCGGTTAGTATCTCAGGACTACTGCTCATCTGTTCTTGGCACATCTGTTAAACTGCTGCTCTTCTGCTTGCATAGCCTGCTGGAGTTCAGAATCCACAGTCCCTTTGGCACATGCACAACAGTTTCTGTTGACTGTTGGATTTGGGTCTGACTTGTGTTTCTTATTGTTAAATTTCGGCCTTGACTATGATCTTGGCTACAGTCCTAAATAAATTGCTTTCTAAGGCTTGTATACATGTTAAAGTTCTCTATAACAGTAATATTTGGTGTTGTATTAATATTAAAAGGACTGAGCTTTGTCTACTTCTAATCAGATATTCAGGGCAGACTTAAAAGGTGAGAGCAGAGCAATTTCCAAGGACAAGGAAATACTCCTGTGGCATGGTTTGGAGTTCCACAAATCCTATTTTGCAATAACTATTCTCATGAGTTTTTTTCTCACTTAAAGGTTTTTTTTTTAACCACCAAAGGAACCGTGCAGTTTTTTTGTTTTTTGTTTTTAAATCAATATTATTTTTGACTAACTGTTTTCAGTTTTGACTTTGATTACCTGCACGTTGCACTAAAGCCAGATTGAAAGCCAGGTCAGCACAGTGCCCATGAAAGAGAGCCCGTAGTGATGGGAAGAAAGCCAAAGAAAGGTCTTTGTTTGTGGTGGATTAAAGAATGTATTAAACAGCAAGTATTCATCTGCTTCAGCATACCTAGAAGGGTGCAGTTCTATAAAGAAAAAAAAAAAGTATTTCATAAACATTTCCAACTGTGCAAAAAATGTAAAGCAGTTTGTTGCAGGGATAAATTTCTCAGATGTTAGGATTTTCTTTCAACGCTTCGCATCCCAGGGATAGAACAGAATTTAAGAAATGGAAAAGATGTTTAAAAATGTCTGGGTTTTTTTTCTTCTCTTTTTAGTGCTCATTAAAAGGAGGAAATAGTGATTCATGGATGAACCCTATATCCAAACAGTTTTCAAATATGGGCTTGCTAGTAAGTGAATTTTTATAAATTTAATACACAATTTGTAAAAAAGCAGTAAGTTTTAAATCAGTGAGATGATGGTTCACTTTCAAGTGTGTTATTTCTTACCCTGCATTTGCTTTGTAGGCATGTTGCTCTAATAACAGTAGTAGCTGAGTATTCAGAACTTCTTGCTAGTAAGAATGGTTCCTCAGTAAATAAATAAATAAAAATACACCCACAAACTTGCACACTTTAAAGCTACTTTATGACAGCTGTAATTGGTGGCCTTTTTCATAAAGTGCTGTTTAGAACACTCAATATAGAGACCTCAGCTCCTAGTTATATCATCAGACATCTGTGATTTTACAGGACTCTTCAAGTTTCTGAAGCTCAGTCATTTGCCAGAGAAGTAAAGTTACAACCCTGTGTCTTAATTATTTTTACGAAGTAATGTGCAGCAGGGTTTTTTTTTAGGACAGAAAGAGCTCAATATTAAATGGTACTTACAGATGAATTAGAAAGGTGAATGAATAGAGGGCATGTCACAGAGAGAAAAGACCAATCTACAAAGTAGTATTATAAAAATACCAACACACAGAAATGCTTAGCAATTACTGATGGGATTCAGTGTGTCAAATATTTTACTGAATGGTGCACCAACTGTAATACTCTGATGCAAGAGTAATAATACTTGCTAGCAAAAGTGTAGAGATTGGGTGAGAAGCCTGAGCTGCACAAACTGTCACTAACAGGGCTAGGATTAGTTTGTAAGGACTTTTGGCTCCAAGGCTCAAACTGAATCTGCTGGACCGTAGATGCTTCTGAAAGCTATGGGAACACACTGTCCCAGACTGCCAACTGAAGAGTAACTTGGCAGTGCATTTCAAGATTTGATGACTTGATGGGTCATGAGGATGAGCTATCATTTTGGCCGCTATTTTCAGTGTTTCTTCCCTTGACCACTGGAACATGAGGACAGAGGTTCATTTCACAGAGCAGCTGTCTATCCATCTTTCTCTGTCTGTTGCATGTGTTGTGTGTCTGGTTTCATTTCTGTAAACTCGCCACATACAGAGCTGAGGGGTTGGGATGAGGTGTGCCCAGACTGAAATCAGGAGTTTTTGTGCTAAATTACAGTTTAGGATGAAACTTCAGTTGGCACAAACATGTTTTTCCATCATTACACCTTAAACCATCAAGGGCTCCTTTCAGAAACATCCCTCAGCATTTCAAAGAAATCAGAACTGACTTTCTTTTTTCTTCCAGAGTCAAACTGAGGACATTCCAGGCAATAAGATGGACTTGTCTGTAGGTACGTATAATTTAATTTAATTGAAATATGAGACCACATGTAGTATTTTCATGTAGATGATATGCTTTCCTTTGGAAAGGCTCAATCCTTACTTTTTAGTGCTCCCCATGAAAGAGGGATACTGTGATAGATGCCATCTGGTATCTTGGCTGCAAGCTTTGAATACTTACACAGCCAATGCTAGAATGCAACAGTGGGATGTATACCTGTACAGAACACAACTGTAACTTGGGGAAGGAGCATCCTATGAGACTGTTGATTTATGCAGTTCACGTTCATTGTTAGTGTCAAGAAAGTGAGGGTCTTTCTTTTCCTGTTGCTCTTGGCAGTAGGACATTCCAATTGGCTTAAGTCCATAGAGGTGATGCAAGTTAAAGACTATCTGTGGTGATTGCCTCAGATTATTATGAATTATTTGCTCAGTAGAACTAGATTTTTCCCTATAGATAACCTCACCACAAATCCTGCACTGCTTAAGTGGAATGGAGCAAGGGGAAAACATGAACCTAAATGAGAAGTTGAATTTGACCACTTGGATTAACTGTGTTACCTAATCCTATTTAATCACCTTGGAATTTGCCACAACGTTTTTCTTTGGCAGACTGTCTACAAAGTAAACTGTCAGAATTTTTTTGTTCTTGAAATCAAGTTTGGTTTTACATTCTGTTTTTCTTCAGATTGTTTCTGAGTGGTCACTGACATTGTATTGTGGTAGAAATACCACACATTTCTGAACTCTTCTGCCGTTTCAGCTGATTGTTTCCCTGCAAGATTCTTAGAGCATATGTTAAAAGAAATGATCCAATTTTAGAGTTTCTTTTTTTTCTTTTCTTTTTTATTGAGTCTTTTGGAGACTCAGTAAAAATAAAAAAATACACAGCACAGTCTTAGATACTTAGAAACAGGAAGAAGGTCTCCTTCCTGTGTTCAGTCTATGGAAACTACGGAAGCAGAAATGTTGCCTTATGTCCTTGCTTACAGAGACAGACCTAGTCCAGTTAAAGTCACATGAATGAAGTAGTTCAATTTTGTGTATGTGGATAAATGGCAGTGGGAAGGCATCTGGTCTGATGCTGACCCTCTTTGCACCAGTGCTGTTAACAGCATCTGCCACAGTTGTAGGCATCGCATCTTGTAATGGAGTTGGGATTTTCTCAACCCAAAAAAGATTGATCATTTGGATCATGCTTTAATCTTCATTGGTAGTGAAGTTGTAGATGTGCAATAATCAAGGTGTACATTTGGTATCAGCTCAAGCTTTAGTATTTTAATGCAATCTGAAGATTTCCAATATCTCTTGGCTTAAAAAATACTGCTTTCTTAAAAGGTATATTTTTCTGCTGCATCACACCTTATAGAAGATGAAGGGAAAGTTCCTTTTTCCACAAATTCTTTCTTCCTGTTAACACTTAAGGACTCCTTATCTTTTTATAGTAATACATAGTTATGGGGAAAATAGCAGAACTTTCTCTCTCTCCTTTTTGGCCTCTGCATTCAGACTCTGCTTGTATCACGTTTCTCTAAGTAGCCTGGCTTATGCTGATTATAATTCTTTTTTTTCTTTATCTGCAAATTAATTTAGATCTTTGAAACTTTCTGCTCTCGGGGATCTTAAAGCCATCAGACCTTATGAGGAAGAGTGTTAGACACTCAGAATATTCTGTGAAAATGCTGCAGAAAGATTGCATTATCTTGATGTGTTGCACATCTATTCTTTAACATGCCCATTATGGCGACATCTTTGATCCTAGATACACGTGTTTGTTAAAGTTTGCATTCTATTTCAAAGGATAAGAATGTAACTGAGACTTTTCTATAGCTTTTTGTGTTAATTTATTCTCTGCTTAGAAGTTCTGATCTTTTTGCTTATGTTTGTTGCTTGTGAACGGTACAAGCCATTTGCTCAGCCTATAATTACTTCTAAACCTCAAAGGCTGGACTTTGTTATCAGGTAGTCTTGTTCTTCAACTGGATTTTGGTCACGTTTACAATGTGCCAAGCTTTAGTAGCAGATAGCTCCAGCTTAGTATTTTCCCAATTCGTGGATAAATGTGCATTGAACTCCATTAAATCTGTGCTTGGAGACCACATGTATCAAAGAAAACGTAGGCTTTTGTATGCATAGTAACTTGGCTCTGATCATCACGCATCTTAAAATAGGTCCAGTTGTCATAGTAATTGCCATAGTAATTCTTACTATGTGGGTCTCAGTCTTGTTTGAAAAACATGTTGCTTTAGTTGCAAGGTACTGTACTGACCAAGAGAGAAAAGAGATGGAGCAGTAGGATGGCTGAGGCAGATTTACTTGCCTATTTGTTTATTATCAGATCTCTTCAACAGATAGCTTGTTGAACTTTGGAAATAGAAATAGGATGCAGCTTTTATCTATGGATGAAAGTCCTGAGATGTGAGGTTTGATACTACAGTAAGTAGCTTGTCAGGACCACCTAATATTTTAACTTCTCATTCTGTTTGACAGCCACTTCTGTCTTTTTTCGTTAATACATTAGCAGCAACTTCTGCAGATCATGGAATTCTCAAATCATCTGTAGAAACTGGGAAATTCATTTCCATTTCTGTTGATTCAAATGCAGTTCATACTGTAGACTACTGTAAATACATAACAAAGCTGTAACCAGAGTGTAACAATGCAGTGTGGTTGCTGAGTAGTCTCGGATATTGTGACTTAATGGCAAAAGTATAAAACCAGTATCTTTTAAATGTTTTAGTTCTTGTGGTCAATTAACATATTTCAGATGTTTTTTTTTCAGTATTACTTTTGCCGCACTGGTTGTACTTTTTTTTTTACCACATTGATTCTTGTATGTATATACTTTATTTTTTTTTTTTTCCTTTAAGCTGTGTGCATGTGGTGAGAAAGATATTCTTAATAGCTTCTTTTCTTCATCAGGCATGGAAATTGGTCTTTCAAGCTCTTGTTTCATCTTTTAGTTTTCACAGTGTCTCTTACAGCTATTAGTAGTGGGGAAAAAAAAATCTGATGAAGTGTCTTCTTTTACAAAGCTGATAGAACATTTAACCTGTTCTACCGTTCTCTATGTAGATGATTTGAATTTTTATATTTGCTCGTGCATAAGTGTTCTTGCTATTTGCAGAGGTGGTAGGTCACTGTTTTTGTGATAAATGATGTTGAAGTCATCTGAGAAGATGAAACTGGATCAACTCTCAAGGCTGTACTAAATACAAAAACCCATGCAATTAGTGGTTGATTTCATAGGTCCTTGGCAGTAGGAGACCTATAAATATTAACAGTGTGCAATAGGACATTAACAAGAGATACTGCCTTTGAGAATCTTTTTTGAGAAGGTAAGTATTTTCAGGATTTTACAATCATTAGTTGTCTGCTGTGTATAATAAAGACTTCAGTGTTTGTCAGTGGGAGGATAACATATCCATCACCAAGTTCCTTTATTAAAGTCAGAAGTTTTGGTTAAATATGGTGACAGGCTTTTTGAACTATTCTTGTAAAGGCCATCTGTTCTACTAAACACAATTATTTAAAACTGAAAATACAAATAAAGCTTGGTTCTACCACCTTGCTTATATTTTAAAATTAATATGTTTTCCATTTACTTCAGCATAACACTGTTCATCTGATCCAAGTGCCAAGTATGATAGAAAGAATTGTTCTTTGATCACGTTGTATGTAAGGCAGCAACTTCCTTTGGTCAGGACTTGGCTGATGATAGACTTGTAAAGAAAGATGTCTTGTCCACTGCGAGTGGTAGTTTCCTCATCTGTTATTAGCATCTCTTTCTCATGCTTCACTGGATTACTCAGTAAACAATGTCAGGGGACTTGAAGAAGTTGTTTGAAAAGTGTCTCTTACAGGTTGTATTATTGCTACATACAGGTTGAGAGAGATTGATTATTTGGTGCACTGAAGTTATGCTAGGCCAGAAGGTGGTTGTTGTTCAAGGATTAAGTTTACATTACTGCAGGAGAATTTTGACCAAATTATTCATACTTGTACATACATGTACATAAATTGCAAGAAATGCTTTGAATTAAATTCCCTGAATTGGTTTGTTCAATCTTAAAAATGAAACTTCCTCTTCTATTTTTTCAGCATCCTTTGGTGAGAACTGTTTGCTGTACTAAATTGTAAGACAAATCTGATTTATACAAGATGTAAATAAGACAAATCTGATCTTACGGACTTTTTTTTGGCTGTGAAGCTGATGTTATGCAAGGCATTGGATATGATTGGCACTAATTATGCTTTCTTTCCTCTTTTCTGCAGGTGGTCTCCCAGATAAGAAGTTTGAGGTAGATAAACGAGCCATGAATCTCGGGGATTTTAATGACATAATGAGAAAGGATCGATCTGGGTTCCGTCCACCTAATTCCAAAGACATGGGAACCACGGATAGTGGGCCTTATTTTGAGAAGGTGAGAGAAATATCTTTAGATAAATTAAAATCAGCCTCTGTATTTGAGGTACTAGTTTTAATCCTACTCCTCTGGAAGTGCTAAAGATCTGGTCACCATGGATGAACTCAACAATAAAAGGTGTGAGGGAGTTATGTTTGTAGAATGGATGTTTTTGTAAAACAGAGGAGTCAGGTATGTACAAACAAGCTAAATTATCCAGGTAGAAAAATGCTTTTTATTCTAGAACAGACTTTTTTTTAAATGATCAGGAAGGAATTCTTTTGTTTTTCTTGGAAGGGTAAATGACTGGTGGTAATGAAATTCATTACAGGTTTCATCACAGTGATTCTTTTGGTTACTGACTACAGTCATCTACTATAAAAAAAAAAAAAAAAATTGGTTTTAGATCTAAGTAACATAAGTAATCACAGTCTTCCACATTTTTTTCTGCTTTCATGTCTGTGATGTATTGGAAACACTCCTCCTAAATTCTGCAAGCCTTTTTGCTGTGTCTGTGTGCTGTGAGCTTCTGTATGACATCTGTTTCTCTGTGACATCTGTTATATGTTATGTTAGCATTTCTTTCATATTCTTGCCCGTTTTAAGTAGAGGCTTTCACTGTTGTTACCAAATACCAATGGCTTCACATTATGAATAGGAGATTGTCCAATAGATTGGGAGTGTTTGTTGTTGTTTTTTTTTTTTAATATATTTTATCACATGTAAAATGGGAAAAAATATGTAAAATTTCTGTAGGTGTGTTAATGTCTGAGGCTTTTTTTTTTAAACTCCTCCATTTTGGTGTAACAGGCCAAAAACAGTTTTGTCAACTCCCTCTGGTGGCCCATTTAATAAATACCACTAGCAAACCTAATGCTTTCCAAGCAGTTTATGTTCATAGGTACGTGCTAATATTGGGAATTAACTGAAGGTGTGTTTGTTTCTGTAGTGGTAGCAGCCACTGTCAGAAATGAACTTTATTAGTGCAACAGACATCTCAAAATGTTTTTCTTAGAAGAAAACTTTTAGGGATTTATTGATCATCCCTTTGGACCAGAATTGTGATTGTTAAGTGGTCGTTTGAGTCTGAACTTTTGTCCATGTAATTGCTATTACAAATTAACTTTGCTTCTTCCTAGTCACTCACCGTCCCTCTTTTTCTCCTCTTGCATTCTGTTGCTTCACTAACCAACTCCTGCTGTTGGCTTCAGCTGACTTTGCCTTTCTCCAATCAAGATGGGTGCCTTGGGGATGAGGCTCCCTGCTCTCCCTTCTCCCCTTCTCCCAGCTACAAGCTGTCTCCCTCTGGTTCCACACTATCCAACGTCGGCCTTGGAGCAATCGGCTCAGGGCTCAGTCCCCAAAACTACGCTGCTAGACAAGTAAGCAGGCCACCTTATAAGATGCGTTGTTAATATGGCTGCAACCTGGGCTTAATCCTGGTTAGTTGGTTGCTTGCACTTGTTTTCCTACCAAATAAATAAATAACAAATTTCAGTTATATCAAACCACCCACTTTGGTTCCTGTCATCAAAATGTATTCCTTCTGGTTTTGTTGGCCTCTTACTTACTGAATCACAGTGCAGCAGCAGACAGATCTATTTTTCAGAAGTCACAAAGTTAGTTAGTGAAGAACTGTGTTCTGATGTTTGAAAATCTAGTTAGAGGCTAGTGATTTGCCCCACCAGCCTCCCACACCGAGTTTTTCCAGACTACCCAATAACCTCATGTGTAGAAATGTTTCTTTTAAAATGTTGCAGTCCTTTTGCATAGTGCCTGTTCCTTCCCCCCTTCCCTGGAGACTGTAGAAAGGACTGATTTTAGCAGCGTTTAAAAATGATTGAAGTAGCAGTGATTTTGTTCTGTGCGTGGAGAAATGGCAGGGAAGAAATGGAGTGGTTGGTTATACTTGGAATAATTCCTTGCTATTGTGTTTTGCATTGTACAAGGAGAAAACATTGCAGGAATGCTAGGAAATTAAAGAATAGAACTGAGTATTACAACTGGACTAGCTTATATAGTCATGTGCCTGACATGATGGTGTTTCTGTGTGTTGTCTCTCTGTTTCTATGTGATGCAGTGTTGAACATCAGATTAAATCCAGAATTTGTAGACATGTTCTCAAATTCAGTGTACAGAACTCCACAGAGCTTTAGAGAAAGCTGAAAGTGTAGCAGCAGCTCCAAGCTTCTCAAAAAAATTGATATGCAGTTGATCCCAGTGAGGTTTTTTCCAGAATACAGGCTTTTCTGTCTCTTGGGATTTCTTTTCTTTTTTTGTCTATCCTCCTGCTGCACGCTCAGTATGACATGCTGAGCTGCTTCTGAAAGAGGAGATGTATTGAGAAGATGCAGTGTAAGTGAATGAGGCAATCCACAGTGCTACCGGTACAGAATTAGAATTAGAGACTTGTGTTTTAGCAAAAGGATAATGGAGAATGCACAGCATTGCAGCAGAAAGGAAGCAAACAGGGAAAGGAAGGGTTTTGGAGAAGATCTCTAAGACTTCAGATTTGAAGAAAGGTGAATGTACATTAGATACAGTGATGTTGGTATGGAGAGAGAGAACAGAACGATGGCTGAGGGTTAAAAAAAAAAGCGCTGCTTAGAAGCCATAGTGTATGACAGAAGCAGGTATGGATCAAGGGATCCTTGTATACAGTGAAGAAGGGGAGTTGCTGAAGGTCTTGGAGTGGAAAGGACAGGATCATGGCATGTAAGGACCTTTTAGAGTACAGGAGAGAGGTGCATTGGCTTCTGTTTTTAGAAGCAACAGCACACAGCTGCGCATGTAGGAGACTGTCCATAACATCTCCTATGGCTTTTTGTTGAAAGATGTTAGAAAAAGACAGTCTGCTCAGAGTCTGAGATAATGGAACATAATCACAAATTCTCTTTGGTCTTTCTGTACAGTAGGATTTACTATTACAGAAGTTCCTTTACAAAGAGGAAACTGTTCTCATTAAAAAAATCTAAAGAAACAGCAAGTGTTCTTTTTACTTAAGAAAAAAATCAGTAGGAGAGGTTTTTTTTCTTATTTGAGAGTTTACCTACTCTTTACCTTATTCTTTAGTAAGGGGGAAAAATAGGAAAACAAAATAATCTCAATCCAGAATGCTGAATATTTCACATCACAAGGAAATCTTTCACGACAATGTTGAGTTTTGATTTGTTAGTGGAAAGCCCACAGCGAAAGTAGCAGACTTGAGTGATGACAGCCTAGTGTGACAAAGTACCTCACTTTTCTAAAACAGTGGCCAAAAATTCTCACTGACAGTCTTACCATACTTTTAAGCTAGTGGAATGTTTTTTGAGCTTGTTGTTTGTACTTGGTTTCTGTTTCCCAACATGTAATATGCGAAATACTAAACACAAACCTAGTCATGTGCTTTGAAATACATGAACATGACTCTTCAATGTAGAAGAGAAAGAGCCTGCATCTTGAAAATGTAGTATGGCGGACTTCATGCAGGTGCAGTGTAACTGATTTAGGGCAAGCATTTCAGTAGTTTAAACAATACTCTGTTGAAGTCAGTACTTGCCTCATTATTTATAAATAGCTAGTAGCATAGAAACCCATTATTCTGAAGAATTCTTCTCACTACTGCTTTAATTTTATAGGGTGGCAATCATGGTTTGTTTGGAAACAGCACAGCACAATCGAGGGGCATGCACACACCAGTGCAGCCACTAAATCCTTCCCCCAATATCCGGGCGCAAGTGCCTCCCCAATTTCTTTCTCCCCAGGTAAGGAATTTAAAGTAACTGGTTACTTGAAAAGAAAAAAGAAAGCAAAGGAGGGAGCTACAGCCTTCAGCACACATCATTGAGATTGTCATAGTCTTGATGTTAAGAAACAGAAAACATAGATAAAAATTTTAACCACTTTCAACTGTAAATTTTATATTCATTGAGAGATGAAATCTGCAGAAGAATTAGCCTTCTGTCATTGCAAGGCAGTGGGTTGTAAGTGCTCTCTACCAGTATTTTAAAACTGGTGAATTCAGAAATCCTGTGTCTTACGTAGAGTTTTGGGAAGTATTTAAAAATAAAACTCAAGAGAAAGATAAAAAATTTTCTGAAGTGTGACAAACTGCTTAATTTTTTTCAAGCAGATTTTTCTCAAGCTTCGTGTTTCAGTTACATTGCAGAACTTTTAATGAAGATTTCAGGCTCTCCAACCGCACAAGTTTAGCTTTTCTTTGCACTTGGTGAATACTTCTGGAGATTATCTTGAGTACCTGTGCAACTCAAATATGCAGGGAGAAATAGGGGGATTCTTCTCCGCCAACTCCTGTCTTTTACTATAGCTTATTCAGCATACACAGAAATTAACTCTTTCTGTGAGGCACTGTTTCTTTTGCTACAGTGACTGCCTGAATGCCTTTCTTTTTCCTTGTCAAGCAGTACATTTTTAATGTGATAATGCAGTACTGTGATTACTGGTTAGCTGCATATATATCAGGATTTTACTCTACTGTAGTCTCTAGCAACTAATTGGTTGGGGGAGGAACCTTTGTGTGTGTGTGTGTGTGTGTGTGTCTGCATCTGCATCTGCACATGTAATATTGTATATTGTCAATCAAGTGAGATTCACTCTGCTCAAGCCATAGACTGTGCATGTTTAAATGTGATGTGTTAAGAAATCTGTAATGTCTTTCTCCAAACACCATTTAAGATTGGTGTCCTATTTATTCCTCTATACAAATACTTCCGTTTCATTATCGTATCCTTATTATCTTATATAGCAGTGTATTTCTTGAGGATATCTAATTGGTTTCCATGCAGGTTTCGGCTTCCATGCTCAAACAGTTCCCCAACAGTGGCTTGAATCCAGGTCTTTTCAATGTGGGGCCCCAGCTTTCTCCGCAACAGATTGCCATGCTGAGCCAGCTTCCACAGATTCCCCAGTTTCAATTGGTAAGTAGCTAGTTATTTTGTGAAACAGACTGCTTGCAAATTGTCTGCTGAGTTTTCTTTTTACATCTGTTCTGATCCTGTTTTGTTCTACTGATGCTGTGATTTTTTTGTACAAGTATTTCCTGCTTATTGTGTGTGAAAATACAGCCCTCTTAGAGGCCAGCAGATAATCTGAGCAGCCCTATGTAGTTATTGCGTATGTTGTCATGGGTTGGTAATGATTCTGAGCCTTGTCTTTGTATATTGAAAGCAGTTGGCTGATTTTTTTTACGAAATTTTCTTCAGACTTGTAGTCTCAGTGACAGCAATAAAGCGAGTACTACCGATGCTCTTGCATGATGTAAAGTTAGAAACAATTAAAGGAGATAATATTTTTCTAAAGCTTTTGTTGTTAATTTTATTTCATTGTGAGGGATGAGGAATGGTTCGCCTCTCCCTAAGTTCTGAGTAAAGCGTTAGCTGGTGGTGAGTTCCTGGCAGTTAGATTTCTCTTGAAGAGCTTTGAATTTTTGCCCTTCCCACCCCCACTTGTCTTGCAGGCGTGTCAGCTCCTCCTTCAGCAGCAGCAGCAGCAGCAGCTGTTACAGAGCCAGAGGAAGTTATCTCAAGCTGTGCGACAGCAGCAGGAGCAACAGGTGGGGCACTGTTTCTGTCAGTCATGTGAAAGCATGAAGTGTACTAACACTGTACATGTCAGAGATCACAGGCCTTTGAATCTTTTTCAGATTGTTTCTTCAGTACCATCCCTATTTATTTATTTTTGTATATTTTTGCAGATTGCTCGTATGGTGAGTGCCCTCCAGCAGCAGCAGCAGAGGCAGCCTGGCATGAAGCATTCACCATCCCACCCTGTTGGGCCTAAGCCACATATAGACAGCATGGTACCCAATCCTTTGAATGTGGGTCTTTCAGATTTACAGACCAAAGGACAAATACCTGGATACGGTTCAGGTAAGTGCTCACATGGAATGAGTAATTTATATGTAACCACTAGAGCAAAGGTTACAAGAAATGTGAGCTCTTGATAAAACTGCATAATTTTTATTATACAAACAGCACATCACAGTGTACCTTAAGTGGCATGCCGACTTAACAGGCTTATTGTAATGTTAGTTTTCAAACGTTCCATTTGTTAATGCTTGAATTTTACCTTATTTATAATTTCAGGGCCTCCACATTTGAGGATGTTTAAATAAAAAAACAGCAAATGATAATGGCTTGTTGGTTTTGTTTCACAGGCTTTGGCTCAAGCAGCATGGATTATGGCATGGTGGGAGGGAAAGAAGCTGGAACAGAATCCCGCTTTAAACAGTGGACTATGATGGAAGGGCTGCCCTCTGTGGCTTCACAAGATGCCAATATGCACAAAAATGGTGAGAGAGGATTGGCTGTATTGAGAGTGCTCTTGCGGTATCATCTCACCAGACGTGAAATAGCTCAAGTGTAACTGCTTCCAGCTAGTTAACATCTGACCTCATTACTCTGCATCTTAACTATTTTTGGTTTTAGCATTTCCATATTCTCATAAAGATCCCTACCTTTCCACTGTGTAAATATATCTTTTTAATGCTTCAGGTGCAATAGTGCCCCCTGGAAAGGCTCGTGGAGGATCGCCCTACAACCAGTTCGACATAATTCAGGGCGACCCACTGGGTGGCCATGCAGGCCCTGCTGGTGATAGTTGGTTACCTGCCAAATCTCCGCCGACGAACAAGATCGGAAGCAAATCCAGCAATGCCAGCTGGCCTCCAGGTATGACATGAGGGCAGGGATTATGTCCCACCTTTATAGTAGATGTGCTGGAATCTTTCCTCAGTAACCACTGCAAGGAAAGTACTTGGTTGGCTTATCGCGTTTTTTTTTAAATGTCCTGCTTATTAAAACATAAATGTTGAATTTCCAGTTAAAAAGATGTCTGAGCTAAATATGGACTAACTGAGAAATATGAACTAAGTGATGAGTTGCCAGATTAGTATTTTGTTTTTATGAGTTGAACCCTCATAGTTCCATGACTTTACACTTCAGGAAATCATCTAACGTTTTTCATCTAACGTTTGTCCATAAAATGCATAATACCAGCCCCTTCCTTTGATATTCATTCCTTACTTGTGTTGTATTACACTGACACAGGATTTAAGAGTTCTAATGGATAATATGGAATCAGAACACAGAAGATACAAAAGCTGCTTTCTTGTGGTGATGGGAAAAGGATTTTCCTCTCTTGGCTTTTTTTATTTGACAGTACACAAACTTTGCCTTTCAGGAATTATTTATAAATATGATCCACGGTGGAGCACAAGGCTTCTTTTGCCATCAGTATTGGTGTAAAATGTATATGCTGTGCTATTTGTTGTGATTCATGTTTGCTTGTGTTGCGTAAAGGACAGAAAAGTGTTAGCATATTTCAGTACTTTTCAACAGTCTTTTCAATTGAGAAGTTTTTGATTAACAGGCACTAGCATATTCTTTAAGTCTTACAGAGTTTCATTGGCAGAATTTTTTGCCCACTAGAAAACTCAAGAATATCTAAGAAAAGTGTGTAGTATTTAAACACATAATTATCTATATAAAAGAGTTGTTAAACCCAGAGTGGTGCCCTTGTTGTTATATGGATCAGTCACCAGTATTGTTCATCAAGTAGCAGGATGCATTGATTTTTCTGTGCCTGGAAAAGTCTTAAATTCCAACATGCCTTGCTGCTAATCCTTTGCTGTGTACCCACTCGAGCAGAAAGAAGCAAAGGTACAGGTACATCTCTTGGGTAAGCCAGTACTACAGGCCTTGCATTAAAAAGCCTAGAAATCTGTGCTACAGATACAAAACAGCTAGAAGCTTACAAAAAGTAGTTAGAGCTTTTAATGTGAAAAACTTTCAGTGTCTAACCCTGGTAAGAAAATGTTTTTTGATGAGGTAACGCAGTTAAAGAATTAGCTACTTCAACAGTGTCTGCACATTTACAACTTTTCAGACCACTGGCTGCTTTCTGTAAAAGTGTATTTACATTACATTGCTGTCAGCCTGGCTGCTCATAGGGGGTTACTTGAACTGGAATTAATGTTCATAATACCAGAAATCCCCAAGGCTTAATTCTTTTCAGAACCTGTCTCCTAGGCTCATTGGTTACTAAAAAAAGCCACAAGTTGAGCAGCATTCTCCTATAAACCACCTGAGAAACACAGTACTGCTTGGGATACTAGGAGAGGGATGTGAGTATCAGCTCTGCTGTGTTCCAAGTTTTTGAATCTACTTTTGTCTCTAACAAGATTACTGGTACCAGAATTCTATCACAGAAGCAAGATGCTCAACAGCTGTTCTTTGTCCCTGTTTGGTGACTTTGAGCTTCTTTAGTGATGCTTGCAGTCCTGCTGTCAGTGATACGTAAACTTTTTGCTATTATTTACTGTCTCACACTGAGGGAGGATAGCTGGAGTTCATGAATCCTGAACATAAACTGCCACTGGGATCATGAGTACCATCCCTCATCTCCTGTGTAAATTAGTAGCTCTTGACTGTGATTGCGGACTTCATGTAGAAGACTGGACTTTGTCATGTGGCTTTAGGTAGTTGTCACTTTGTTGTTACCACTCTCTCATGAGGTCGTTAGACTACTGAGACAAATGTTACTGTCCCATAACCATCATCCATTTAAGCTGTTTCAGGGCTTTGTTAGCTTTTTTGGCCTCCTTGAGAAGGAAAAGGTAGCTATGATCATGATCAACCTTATCAAGAGCCCTGATTAGGGATAAAGATCTGAGGTTATTTTAACCCCGTGAGTCCTTTTTCTGTCTAGGCTTGCAGATGAGGTTCACTGTCAGATTCTGGCATGGAAATTTTCCTCACCACGTTGAGAAACAAGTTGTTTATAAAAACGAGTTTACAAGAGGGAACCTCTTGAAATGCATGTGAGTTTCCTTTGAGTGAATACGCAGTGATCATTCAGCATTTACTCTGATCACAGCTTTCACATTTTCCTACTGAATGCCATCTACTGCAGAAATTCTGCCATTTAGGAGAGCAGTATTTGTTCAGCACTAAGACGAATGAAATTGTGCCCAATCAAACTGGTCTCACAGGTGGAGGTGAGAGCAAGTTTTGCAGCATTGATGAGAGTTATGTCTTTTGATTGCATCACACAAAATTGCATACCTAGATAATACTATTTTATAATTTTCCCACAGAGGATTTGTTCAGTTATGTACTCCAGGCTTATTTGTTTTGATGATGTATTTCTAATACTCCTAGTATTTGAATAGTTTGAACTGTTGAGGAGATGGTTTCAGATACAATTCAGAGAAATGTGCTTCATGTTTTCGTTACTATGTAGAAATATGAGGGTTTCCCTGTAGGATCTCTTCATGGATGCCCATGAGATAACTGTCATTCCTGAAGGATAGTTTGGAAATTCATCAATATTCTGAAGTTCACACAAAACTTTCCTGGCAGCCTATCAGAAAATGCTGTGTGTAGAACTCAAGTAAGAAATGTAGTCATTCATATGAGTACAGTTGAAATACTGGCATGACTATCTCCTCCCAGAAAGCTACAGAGCACTGGAACTGACCTTCCTTCCAGACCAACTTCAAAACAGTTTACTTAACTGACCTTCTGAACAGCAAGGTGGGCAGCCTAATTAATCAATGGTATTTATTTGACCTGCAGCCAGAGATCAGAAGCCTCATTTTTATTGTCTCCACATCTCCACACCACATTATGTTGGAGTGGATATGTTTATTGTTAAAAGCAATATGGTATTCCTGGTCTTAGACCCTTGTTTGACTTAACTGTTTGCAGGGAGATTATGATGCACTAATTTTCAGTCTCACCAGTTCTCAGGCATGACAAAGGTGTGACTTGGATTTATTTTACCTTCAGCCATTTTGTATCCTAACCTTTGTTTATAGATTCTTTGTCTTGGAACAGAGAAAATCTTTTTGACTAGAATCTGAGAATCTGCATTCAGTGGTCCTTAAGCATAAGGTGATCCTTCTCTTCAGGGGACTGCTGTATTTTGGCAGAAGCTGAACATATTTTTTTCTTGGTACAGTGCTGATTGATTGTTGATACTGTTAGGAATTTTGATCTCCTGCTAGCCTAGATTATGTTGTAGAGTTAGAAGAATTGGGAAATAATGACTGATGTTTATAAAATCTTGAAGACAGTGGGTAAGGTAAAATCAGAATTGTAATTCTGTAACCCTTGCAGTGCTACAGCTGTGGTACAGGTGCTGGAACTAAGAGAATATGTATTTTACATAGGTGAGAAGATAGGTTTTTTTCCATCATGAGTAGACAGATATTTCTAGCTGGTTGAAAAAGTGATGGAAAATGTGTTCACAAGTAAGTGTGAGCTGAGAGAAGGCATTTTGACATCCATAATAGAAATGCTAAGACAGTGTGATGGCTGTAGCTTGCTGATAGCGGCCAGGTTTATGTTCTTGTCCCTAACTGCTACCAACAGAGGCAGAATACTGGGATAGATGGGTCGCAGTTCTGACCCATCAGGATACTTCTTATGTCTTCTCTTGAGATTCTCCTGACAGTGCAATATCATAATCTAATACTGCTCTTGTTATGCCAACCGTTTGAACCATCACTATCACATCTTCTTCTCTGTTTGTCTGTCAGAGTTGTAGTCTTGACTCTGCTGCATCGTTGTAACATTAGCTGAAATGAGACTTTCCATGGCAGGTTCCCATATATATTGTTGCATTTCACCCAGATCTTCTGTTATCAGTTATTTCAAAACTTCATGTTAGGAATGAAGGTATCATTCCATATTCTGCATTTGTATCTGCAAGTGATTAATCTGTTACCTGGCACTTCCTTCACATGTGTCCAAACTGTTACACAGTACCCATGAAGCTTCTGGTTTTGTATTTGGCATTATTCATTTCTTACCATGGCTTCCAGAATTGCCCACAGAACTTTATTGATTGAACATCTGTCTACTTCAAAGGAGAAACCAAGTTACTAATCTTTCTTAAAGTGAATGGAATTTTTTTGTTCATACTCTCTCTATAACTCTGCATAATGTCTTAAAGATCTGGCATTCATGGAGCTATAATTGAGAGACTAAAGCATATTCTCTGTCTTCAGTACAAAGTATGAAGAATGTTACCATATGCATATATCATTTTTATTGAAAGGTACCTCACATTAGCATTACTTCAGTACCACTGGGTAATACATGAACTGTGTGTCTACCTACAGCGTGAAGCATCCAAGGTTGCATTTACAAGCTCATACTGTAAGCAAAGAAAGTATCTTAGCAGATATATAATGTATTAAGAAAGGTTAAAACTGTTGAAGCCTCATCTGAATTTAGTCAAACAAAAAGTCGAAAGAGTTTTGTATGCACTTGCAGCACTTTTGCAGTATTGACTTGTATTCACACACTAGAAATTAAGCTCTGTGGGAGGAAATACACAGTAAATTTTAACTAAGAGAAATCTGATTTTTTTAATTTTTTTTTTAGGAACAGTGTGGAAGATTATCCTCCTAAAATATCCTCCACAGTTACCTCTAGTAAATGACATTCCATTGTCTGCATCTAACTCCTTCTTTCCTCCTGTCCCAGAGTTCCAACCAGGAGTGCCATGGAAAGGTATACAAAACATTGACCCTGAATCTGACCCCTACGTGACCCCTGGAAGTGTGCTGGGGGGGACAGCCACATCTCCCATTGTAGATACTGACCACCAACTTCTGCGGGACAACACCACAGGTAAAACAGTGAACAACTGGCATATGTTTATTTATGTCTGATATTTGAGAATATTCTGATATTCCTGTCCTAGCAGGATAAGTCTGCATTTGACTAAGAAGGAAGCCTGTGTGCTTGTGCACCACAGTTCCGTATCATGTAGAAGAATGACATTGTTACAAAATGTGGCTTTCTTGAGATTTAACTCTGCAACTGGCCTACTCTTCACTTTCTTTCTCTTTCTGCCTTTGATAGGGTCTAATTCTTCCCTCAACACCTCGCTGCCTTCACCTGGTGCCTGGCCCTACAGTGCCTCTGACAATTCCTTCACCAACGTTCATAGCACTTCAGGTATGCAGGCTCCAAAATTTACCTGGACAGAACGTTTTCCAGTTATTCACTAATTCCTCTTCCTTATTCCACCTTGAAATACCCTTTTCAGTGTTCCCTTATGAAATTTGGAAATAATAATGTGAGTGGCTGATCAGATCATTTTCCTTGTGATAATAAAATTTTCTGTTGTAGATGCTTTAGAAACCAGACTAAAATCCCTTCGCCTACCCTTCTCCCACTAAAACATTCTTAATTATGCATGTTAAAAGACAAGATAGCAGTAGGCAGTAGATAGAAGAGGAAAAAAAACCAATATAAATACGAGCCATTTATATGTAAAGACTTAGGGAAGCCATTGTAATGCGTGCATGAGGTAAGGAATATAGCAAGTAATAAAGCAGGTGATTTTATTCGTCTTAAAATTTGGAGTGTTGAAGTTCTATGAAGGGAACACTTTTTCCTCACTTTGTGTAGTGCTCATATTTCCCTGGGACATAGAGAGAAACTAATTTTTAGTCAAAGCCCTTCACTCCAAGGACTGAAGGGCTTAGGCAAGGATCTTTCAGTGCGTGGCCTGCAGACAGTAGTGTCTTGCATCATTAAGTAAAGTCTCCAGAGCTGTCTTGTGAAGAAAGGTCTCTGCACACACTTCTGGGTACGAAGCTGGAAATAGTTGTTTCAGACAAATAATTCATATTTTGAGCTGCTTATAAATGCTGGAGTTTTCTTTTGAGACATTATTGTCTTTGGCAGCCATTTAACACTAAAGAATTGTGTGTGGATAGCAGAACTGGTGAACTTAGCTGAGAGCTGCATCTGTCCCACACTGTCAGACTTCTGGGATAAAAGCAGTGTTCATACAATAACTTGCCATCTTTGCAAAACACATTGAAAATCCTGCTTATCTCTCAAGAAAGATAGTATTCCTGCTGCCAGTTTGTGGCATCACGTTGGTTTGAAGCAGTATACATATATGCAGGATTCCAATTACATAAACAATTTCTCTTTCTTAGCCTCAGTGGAGGAGTGACATGTATTAGTTTTCTCATCTCTGCTTGCTTTTGTCTAGCACATGAGGAGAAGAGAGAAAGGTAAAAAAAAAACAACAAACTGAAGTCATAGCTAAATTGAAGACAGTGCACCCAGTGCCTGCCATAAATCCTCTCTTCTCCATGTTGTGTTAAACTGCACACTAGTGTTCTACAGCTGAAAAATAGGTCATCTGAATTAAGGATTTAGAATTCACAAATCTATAAAACAAACTTGGTCTAGTGAACAAGGTTTTTAAGGACTTTTACATACTTTTATAGGTTAGTGCTTGAAATCTCAGTACTGTTGACAGTTACTGTCACTGAAATACAGTGATCCAAATGTGAAGCAAAGTATGCCTTTACTTCTTGCTCTAAGTTTTAATGTTGTGAGTCCCAAATGTATTATTTCGTGACACGTAAGCATAGATTTTAATCTCTTATTTCAAATAAATAATTTACTACCTTTTGTTAGTAAATAAAGATTAATATATGAATTTGCAAACATATAAATGAATTCCAATTAAGATAATATATGGCTCAAGAGCCTTTTCCCCTAGGATATTCTGTCTGTTTGCTGATTCTGTTTACAGAGGAAGGAAAAAGAAAATTACTCAAGCAATTTCAACTTAGATTTATTTCTTCTTACTGAGTGATAAATATCGGTTGATGTCAAGAGGTATAGGAGAGGGTACACTCTACTTTATTAAGGACAATCAATGGGGATTAGTTTTTAACTTTTTTAAATGTGTGAGGGATGCCCACTATTATTCTTTCCCTAATAGCTACTTGGCAATATTTTCTAGTATAAATTCAATGCATGCTGTCAAGATGGTTTTAAAGTTCAGTTGTCATATAGATAAATGTTCTTCATCATGCGTTGTCATTGTGCACACTCTATAATGACATTTTTGTTGCATGAGAAAGCATTAATCTTACTGAATGACATCTTTAGCAGGTAGCATTAGCTTAGTATATCAAGAGCAGTAAATACTCATTTTGGTTCTCTGCAAGTTTGGGGCCTTGAGAAGGTTCAGTTTTACGTATTATAAGTCAGTAGCACCCAAATGTGCAGGAAATCCTCAGGTTTCTCAAATAAAATGTAGTAGTGTAATATGGGTGTTCTATGTTTCTGTTGTTAATGATTAAATATACTGTGGTAAGTGATATTAACACAGACAATAATCTTTTCTTTTTGGGGGGGGCAAGGGTCAGCATGTATAGAATAAGCCAAGATTAACTACATGTGTCATGGGTTTTTTGCTATGGCAGATTATTTTTTGTTCTGTGCTATGTGCTTGTCTGTGATTGAAATTGGAGAGAATTTGCAGTAATGCTGTAGTTGAAAGCTAGTTGAATCTTATTAGGTTTCTCTAATACATACTGTTTATTCAATCTTCCAGCAAAATTCAGTGATTACAAATCAACATGGTCCCCAGATCCCATAGGACACAATCCCACTCATCTCTCCAACAAGATGTGGAAAAACCATATTTCCTCAAGGAACACTACAGGGCTGCCTCGCCCGCCTCCTGGCCTGACCAACCCCAAACCATCATCTCCATGGAACAGCACAGCACCCCGATCGGTCAGGGGCTGGGGGGCACAGGACTCAAGGCTTGCCTCTGGTGAGAAGAATCATCTGATAACGCCATTGATCAGACCTGAGGAGTGTGCGCTTTACAGCACTAATGGTTTGGAGGAGAGAAAGTTGCAGTTGCCTGGTAAAAGGAAAAAAGTTCCTTAAGTTCTTGAAATGGAAATGAACTGTCAGTGATTGGGATGGTGGGTGGGGGGAAAAAGGGGTTGGGGGTAATCCTAGATCCTGCTGCAGGAGATTAGTGGAGAGGGCTAAGAGCTGCAACAGAGGAATTTCTGTTGCATAGGGCCTTTCAAAACTTAAAGATAGTTGATGGGGGCAAACTGGTAGAAAGTAAACTCTAGTAAAAAGTGATGTGAAATGTGAAGAAAGATGTGCTTTTTCTTGTCAGGAGTAAATATTCAGCTCTCATGTTATTAGGAGCTAATAATGCTGAATTTGTCTGAGACTGAAAGACCTGACTGTGATGAAAAAGGTTTTTCAAAGGTTTTTCTTGATTCCTTTCTCTCCTGTTTGCAGCATCTACTTGGAGTGATGGTAGCTCAGTTCGTCCTAGTTACTGGCTGGTTCTTCACAATCTCACTCCACAGGTATTCTCTTTTACTGTCTCTGGGAACTTGTTTGCATTGCTGAGATAGCAGTTTGTGGGCTCTTCACTTGGCTCTTTGTGATTAAAATCTAACAGGATCAGATTTGTCAGCATGCATGAGAAGCATTTCTACTAACCCGAGCTGTAGTCTAATTGGTTTTTCTGTAGTCATCTTTTCAGTTAACTTCAAGATGTTCAGTGTTTTCTGGATGACTAACTTAGCCTTTTCTTACCTAGTGTTTAAAGAAAGCAATGGAACAGAAAAGTTTGTTTTTCCTAGAAGTGAAGAAAAGTTGCATGACCATAATGTAGAATGGTTGACAGCAGAGTCTGTTTCTTTGGGATATAAGAATGCTGGTATAACTGCTAGCTTTCACTTTGGTGTTTCCATTCTGAAACCACAGTGTTTCCAGCTCTCCTGCCAAAAACAGTCTAAATAGGTTATCCCTACAAAAGTGTTCTCAGTACTCTTCCTTTCAAAATGAATTCTATGGAGATGGTGGTTTCATCACTCTCATTTAGTCTGTATTGAATGCTTAGGAAAAACCTGTCTGATTATCAGCAGTGCCCTAGGATCTAGACCCTAGTTCCCTGTTCAGCAGGGTAATTCTGGTAGAGCTTAAGAAGGCATCAGTGTGAAAGACTGAGGTCTCCTTTGGATCATCCCAAATGGCAAGCTACACTTCTTTCATAGGAAGGATTGTTTTCCTTATTGCGAATGAAATGGTAGGAATGAAAATCGTGGAGAGGCACAATTCTAAGTCCCTGCCCCTGTGCAAGTTAGATTAATACTGCTTTAAGAATCATTTAATGGAGTAGAAATATATTTTGAAGGTATTCAAATCAATAGAAAAGCAGATTAAAGTTGTACCTTCTCTAGCAAATCCTCTTTTTGTTGTGGATCAGATACACTGAAGAGGAGGAAATAAAAGATTAGCATGATTTCAGAGTCAGTATCTCCAGTTTCTTTTTTTAACTGTGCCCATATCTGTACCCACATAAAACTTTCTTTTCCCTCATTTGAGATTGTATTGTATAATAGGGGAGAAAAGGGAGAAGGAAGAAAGTAACACTTCCTTTAAGTATTTGCACATACGGATCCCATTTGTGTGTGCATGTTCTTGTGGCATACAAGGAACAGAATCTGTCTGTACAGAACGCCTTGGAGAACAGCAGTTCCTGGAGGTAAGAAGCTGTTATGCTGCAAGGAGGAATGTAGGCAACAACTGCTGTGAAAACATCAGTTCAGGAGGAATGAACCTTGCTGGGTTCGGCAGACTGTTTCTATGACTTACTGTTTCATAAACCACAAAGACAAAAAATAAAATAAAAATTAAAAGGCTACTTATTGTAGAGGTGAGGATTCCAGTTCTGCAAAGTGTTTACTTACTGGTTGATCTAAATGCTGCTGGCATCACAGTGCTGGAAACTAACAAAGTCTAGTTCTTCTGGCACAGTCCTAATGGCTGCAGATGCTGAGAAGTACAGCCTGTTTGCAATTACTGGAAAACCTGCCGATGTAAGGATAGTGACAGAATCAGAAAGTAAGGAGGGGAAAATGAGTCAAGCTACAAATGAGTGAAAAGATAAGCTAGTTTGTTACGTGAAGTGTAATCACTATAATTGTGAGAACTTGAGGCATACTAAGATGCTATTTGAAAATTAAATCATGTTACCTCTGCATTCTTTCCATTGCTTCCACCTATTTTCCTCTGTAAGAGAGATAGGTGGAATAGATTCCACCTATTTTCTAATGACTGCAGCTGTTAAGACAGAAATGCATGTAGTGAAGTAGTTCCCAACATCTCTCCTATTTTGGCTGTTCTTCTGCAGATCGATGGGTCAACCTTGAGGACGATCTGCATGCAGCATGGCCCACTGCTGACATTCCATCTGAACCTGACCCAGGGCACCGCTCTCATCCGATACAACACCAAACAGGAGGCGGCCAAGGCCCAGACTGCACTGCACATGTAAGCAAATCCCAGTGTCCTTCCTTTGCTGCTAGACTAGTCATGAACACAAAACGTCTCTCCAGTGCTGTGCTTTGGAAGCTCGTTTGGGGCATTTTTGAAGGGCATGTTTCCTTCATTGGTAGGAGAAGATGAGAAACAAGGGTGCCTTCCATTTATCTTGTTTTAAGTACTGCCACAATCTGGTAAATGCAGAACCAAGAAGGTGCAAATAGCAGGCTGGAATTGTCACCAGCATGCAAATTGCTGTACAGTTCGGGCTGTCTTATGAAAGATCATAAATAAATTTAGATCATTCTTACATGTGTCACCCAAATGTGCAGGAATCTGCTGTTATTTTGAGATATACTAGAAATAGCTCCTTTGAAAAGCTACCATTCTTAAACTTCTTTGAATTCACAGAGCTCTAGTATGTTTTGAAAATGTGAGAGATTTGAAGACAAAAGTAACTTCCTGGGCTTTTTAAACTTCTCTTGCTCTGTTCTGTTTGAATGGCAGTGTACATGCATGTGTCACAGAATCACAGAATGTCCTGGGTTGGAATGGACCTCAAGGATCATAAATCTCCAACCCCCCTGCCACGTGCAGGGCCACCAACCTCCCCATTTAGTACTAGGTTGCCCAGGGCCCCATTCAGTCTGGCCTTGAACACCTCTACGGACGGGGCATCCACAAATCATTTTATATTGTGTATATACATGTATTTTATATTGTATCATTTTATCTACACCATACATGTACTTTTATTGTCCTTGCATTTATATTCAAGGCTTTAGCTTAAATATAGAAAGCTTTTGTTGCAGGTTAACAATAGAGTATTTGATTTTTGCCCTTTATAAAATAGAAGTTCTTGCGTTTTGAGTCAGTTTCACTGTTGAGAATGGCTGACATTTGCTGTGCTCATTCCATTCTGGCCAGCTGATTTCTGCTTTGGTTTTGTCACCAAATAGCATTGTTTCCATACCTTCTGAATCCCTTCCTTTATCTTCCAGCTTTGACTAATTATTTTTTTTCTTCCATACGTCTTCCAGGTGTGTGTTGGGAAACACTACCATCCTGGCTGAGTTTGCCACAGATGAGGAGGTTAGTCGCTTTTTGACACAAGCTCAGCCCCCTACACCTGCAGCAACCCCAAGTGCACCCGCGGCAGGCTGGCAATCCCTGGAGACGGGACAGAACCAGACAGATCCAGTTGGACCTGCTTTGAATCTCTTTGGTGGGTCAACAGGGCTTGGGCAGTGGAGCAGTGGTGGCGGCGGCAGCAGTGGGGGTGATCTCACTGGCGCTTCGTTGTGGGGGCCCCCAAACTATTCTTCAAGCTTGTGGGGGGTCCCGAGCGTAGAGGATCCACACAGAATGGGCAGCCCTGCTCCCTTACTACCTGGAGACCTTCTGGGAGGAGGGTCGGATTCAATCTGAACTTAGAACTTTCAACTCTGACCTCGTGACCTTTTTTGGAACAGCAGCAGCACTAACTTGACCTTTTCGTTTTTTTTCAACTTGCAATAAATACATTTATAAAAGGAAAAAAGAAAACGGAGAGAGAAAAAAAGGTGGGTCATTGACAGACTGTCTGAGCACATAGTTGCCTCCCTTATATAACTTCAGTTTTTTTGTTTGGAATATGAATCCAAAAAGAGAACATATCACTCTTGAAATACTTGAATCATGAACGCCAACTTAGAAAGACAATGTGAAGCAAGTACACATACCATTTAAATTTAAACACAAAAAATTAAAAAAATTAGTTTCTAGTTTTTCACTTTTTCATGTTATACGGAAGTTGTTGCTAAGAAACATATATACTGAAAAAATAGCTTTTTAACTTTGTTTGCACTGGGTGTGTTTCCGTCCTTAGGTCTACCATGTTGGGTTGGGGTAGGGGTGGGGTTCAAAAGAAAAAAGGGGAGGGGGGAGGGGAAGACTTGACGGAGCCTCACTTTAAAAACAAAAACAGACAAAAAAAAAATCAAAAAAAAAAAAAAGAAAGAAAAAAACAACAACAACAACAACAAAAACCATCACTTTGTGATTGGCTGGTTGATAAGTACCAGTGTGTTCTGGCACATGTAACTGCCCACGTGTGCTTGTTTCTGTGTGAGTGTGTGTGCACATATTCGTGTGTGTGCATTTTTTCTCTCTATATATAATCTTGAAACGCTGCATTGCTGATGGTCTATGGGCTGGCTGGCATCTGCGTGTCTTGCTTCTGAAAACAAGACAGGCATGGTGGAGTCCCTGTGGCTGAAGCAGAATCCAGTTGGGCTGGGTTAAAATTCGTCAGTAAGTTTTTTTTAAATTCATTTTAGCAGGGTGCTATCTCAAGTTGCAGATCATACTGAATGGGTAGTTGCTTCCTAGCCCTTGTTCTAACCCTGTGGTAGAGCAGAACACTGCCATATCCAAAGGATTTGGTGAGAGCGGAGCCAGTGTTGTCTTTTGAGTAGCAGTGTATTTATTTATTTATGTCTGCATGTGGGGTTTTTGTATGGAGTGAACCCTAGAATGTTTGTTATATAATGCAAGCCATTTTTTTTTTCTTCTGAAGAGAGGAAAAGGGGAGGAAAGAAGACATTGCCATTTTTGGAGTGACAAAGAAGAATGTTCTTATTCTCTTGCAAGCTTCAGAACCTTTAAAATTAACACAAAGATAAGTTTCTTTTCTCCCCCAGATGCATAAATAAGCACCCATGTTCATTCTTGAAGAATCCATCAAAAGCTTGAAAGCCCAGCCCAACCAAATTAGCCTTTCAATTGATTTACTGCTTGTTTTAAAACTGACAAAAGTGAAATTGTGTCAGCAAACCGCTGGCCGGCCTGCCTCATCCCCTGAAAGCACATGCAGCTGACTCCCTTCCGCGTCCTTCACGGTGAGCGTTACCTGTGCCAGGCCTTGGTGTATTACAGCACCAGACCATCACTGACAGAAACGTTTACGTACGAATGTTCTTAAACCAGTGTGTACTTCAAACGTTTCCTTTTGTTTCTCTGTGTTGTGTTTTTTCCTGTGTATGTGGTTTTGCTTAGGGAGGTATATAACTAGCAAAGACTTTTTTTTTTTTAAAGTATTGCACCTTTTTGTTTTTTGTTTTTACTTTTTCTGTACTGTTGCTTTTTAATTTCTGTATTTAAGGAAAGGTTTGGGGTTTTTTTAGCATCAGTGTAAGTAGTACTCTGGGCAGGATAGGGGTGACCTATGTAATCCACAGTGATAGCCAGTGTGTGCGTGCATGTGTGCGCTGGGAACAAAACAACAAGACTGCTTGTTGTGAAGAGCCGTAGCAGCCTTGAAGGAGCATCTCTTTACACAAAGCCAGAAGTCGTTCGGAGGAAGGCTGGGAAAAGAGGGAAGAGAGATGCCGGTACTTTTTGTGTAAATGCTAGCATCCATGTGGCGTTGTCTAGCCGTCGTACTGTCTAACAAAGTGCCGACGTTCAGTACCAGCAACTACCTGTCCATTCCAACCCTCAGCGGGAGCAGTTCTCGGTTTTTATTACCTGTCGGGGGGAGGATAGGAGAGTCTCCAGCGTTTTCATTGAAGGATCCAACAGTGTCTAATACATTTAAGCAGGGCTTAGGTGGGGAGAAGCAGAAGCAGACTCAAGTAGGGTAGGGGTGCGTGTGTGTGCGTCTGGGTGCGTGTGCCTGTGGGTTGGGAGGGAGGGGAAGGGCCGGGGAGTTTTGTGGCTTTTCTCAATTTGCCCTTTCTATTAAACCCAGTGTCACAAGGATGACTGACTGAGGGAAATGCTGCATTTACACATGCCTGTAGATTTGTACACAAAGTGTTACGTGACGATAAGTATGAGTAGGTTTGTATTTGCTTAGTAAACTGGAGTGTGCAGCATACTCTGGCTCCGTTGGAATATACTTTTCTATCACATCTCCTTCATCCCACCATGCACAAAGGAAATTTCCTCTTCCATCTCCTGCTAGCTAGTGCCCCTCGCGTGCACGCATCCTTAGAGCTTTGTTTCTGACGGTCTCCGCTCGAAGCCCAGCCGCGCTCCCACAGGCAGAGCAGGTTCCTAAAAGCCTTGTGCCAGCAGTTCTTCCTAGCGAAGCACCTTTGGCCTGAGTCAGCCAGTGCCCCTTCTCCCCCGCTGTTTGCCCTCCACGCTGGTTCATTGCTGTGTGCCACCCTCACTTCTCTCTCCCAGCCTGCCCTACGGTCCCTTTTCCTGCACTTTGGGTTAGTTGAGTTCATTGCGATACTACGGTGAAAGCCGGGTGCTAGAGCCCCTCTTGTTTACAAGACGTAATGAGGGATTTGAAATATTTAAAAAGAAAAGCTAAATTGTTCTTCCATTGTAAGCTTAAAGGGAAAAAAAAAAAAATTAAAACATACAAAAAAAAAAAAAAAAAAAAAGACCAAAAAGTGCATATATATATTTTAGATGAAGACTAACTCTGGGAGCATTTAACAGTGTTTTTGTTTTAATTTTAACATTTTATTTTCCTGCTTTAAATTTGCAAGCATTCTCAGGAATTCTAGGGTAGGAAGCCAGTTTTTTGAAGATGGTTTATTTAACCTTATCCTAGATAGATGGCTGTTTCTTGTTGATAAACTTTTACAAGTTCCTGAATCTTCAAAATGTTTGAAAGTTTTTACTTTAAAATAAAAAAGCTAAAAAAATTAATAAAAAGAAAAAGAAAAAAAAATGAAAAAAAATCTCCAAATGTTACTGTCAGGTGGGGGGGGATCAAGAATTGTAAAGACTGAGTAAATTAAAACACATGAAGAGAACTTCTCAGTATCAGCAGCAGAAATCCGTTGCGATCTGAAGTTGTGGGAGAAGAAGGGTTCTCGTTTGTAGTGCTTTGGTACTCGTGCAGACATGTGCATTTGCCTGGAAAAGAGAAGTGTGCGAATGGAAATCTATTACTGTGTTCCCTTTCGATCTGAAACTAAAATATTCTTCCAAGCACCTTTTTAAAAGCAAAGTGAAACTGTAAACCTAACAAAAATGCAGTATAGTTTTAACTGAAAGAGTCCTCAGTGAGGAGCAGCAGGAAATACACAACGTTGCTTCTTTAAACCACTTCTAAGTAGTGCTAAATACCAGTGCTGACAGGACGCCGAAGAAAGCAGTAGTTTTATCCTGCCTTTCTCAGTACAGAAAAAAAGAGAGGCGATATGAAAAAACTGCAGTGAAATATACATTAGAAATCAACTTTCCCATTTTGAGCTATTTTGGTCAGTTTTGTCCCCCAGTTGGAGATTTGCTGCTTGCTTTTCTTAACCCCCAGCCCACCTTCAGTCTCTCTGTGTTGTTTCATATGAGGGGAATAGCTGGTAAACTCTTCTGTTCACCCTGTTGCTGCTGGCTGTCGGGGCAGACAGTCTTGAGCTTCAGAGCTCGGTGCTGGGGTGCCTGACTTCTGCCCCCCAGCTCTAAGGGTCAGGGGTTTGCTCCTCCTGAAATGGCGAGACTCACACCACAGAAACCGCGCTAGTGCCTTTCTACATGCACCCTACAGTAGGGGAAGGGAGGGGAGATGAGGCAGAATGGTCGCTTAATGGAAGTAAACCTACCCGTTCTTAGAGAAAAAAAGAGCATGCAGTGAGTCATGCAATGAGTTACATAGCAGTAGTTGTTAAGATAGCTTTTTACTATTTAAAAAAAGTCAGATGCCAAATTAATGTCCTTTTCATATCAGTTGCCCGGTGTTTTTGTGTTGTGCTCTGTGTACATACGAGTGTATATGTGTGTGTGTTGACTCTAATGCATCAGCTGATTTGGGAAAAAAATTGTATAATAGGCCAGTAGAGGAACGTTCATTTAGGACGTTAAAGATTTTTCTATTATTATTCTTTTTAAGGAGAAAAATTTGAGGGTTTTTGGCCAGAGGCTGTTCAAATTGGCAGTGTCCTTAAAAAAAAAAAAAAAAAAAAAATAGAGCCCAGGAGTGTGGCAGTCATTTGGAAGTTGAATTGTGAGTGCTGAAGGGATGCAGTCTGGAGCTTCTGCCCTCAGCTGAGTCCAAGCCTGCTGTTTTACAGCAGTCTGCTCCTCCATTCCTTAAAGGTACAGGCCTGCAAACGTTAGTGACTGTCTTCTCAGTGACAGTTTTCCAAAATTGATCAAGTAAAGCCACGTTAGTCTTACTGCTTTCCAGCCGCAGGTGATAGTTCCATTCCTCTCTGAATTACGCCTAGCTGACCATGATGCTGGCACAGCTCGATCCTGGCATTCCTGACCCCACTGCAAACTGTTTCTGAGCATTGTGGTGACCACGCTCATCTGGGGACGCCAGTTGCTCAAATGTTGTAAATACTCTGCTACCATTTGGGCTTGTAACAGTAAAAAGACAGCAGGAATAGTTGTTACAGTATTTGGGGGGCTTTTACAACCATTCCAGGGAAGGAAATGATGGCAGTGTCTTGTTTAAACTGTTGATAGAGTAAAGAAAAGGGGCTGGGGAAAAGCATCTTACTACGTCCTGCACTGAAAAATCAGTTTTACTTTCAAGCAACAGAGAACACTTCTTCATTCTGTTCCTGGTTTTGATTCTTAAGATGATACAGTTCAAATATATATGTACTTCGGAGGTGGTTTCACATGTCCTGCTTTTTTGTTTTGAATCCTTCAGTGCTACATTTTAGCAGTCTTCTAAACAAGTACCTATTTGTTAATTCTACTTGGCTTACCCTAGCTTGCAGTGTGCATCCAGCTGAGACTTTTTTAATAGGTTTGTTGGTTCTTCCTAAGTTTGAGAATTTCCTTTTAGCTGTAAGAAAGTCTAGTAAGCAAAACAATAAAAAATAAAGAGGAGTGGGTGCAGCTCAGAAATCTGCATTGAGACCTCTGATGCTTATTTTTGGAAAGCAGGTTTAATATGTACATTGGAAGACTTCCAGTTTTCCCACTGTTTTTGTACTTCCCTGGACTTTTACCCAACGTTCTTCAGAGTGTTTTTGTTGTTGCTTTTTCCCAGTCATAGG